AATTTCCGGATTTTTGCTCTGGCAAATAAACTACGATCCGTTATGGTTTTCCAGATAGCTGCCAAGGTGGTATAGGTAATTTCCATCTTTCGCCAAGTGTATTACGTAATTGTCGCGCCATTGCTTCACCAGCTCGCACTCGCGTGTTTGGGAATGATCGCACGGAAAGTAATTCACCTACACTAGCGCCGTTGTTTATTTGTTCATTAGCCGAGCGAGTCGGCGAGCTATGTACATATGGATTCTCGAATATACTCACGCTAATTTCACGAAATACCGTTTCTCGTTTTAGCAAACTGTTTAAATTTTTCACCGGCTTTTGCATTTGTACCTTGCGCATAAATCTTCAAACGCGAGCATGTTTTAGTACGAATCGAAACGCACCGGATCGATACGTGGAACACAAAAGTTTCTGTCGTCATGGTATTCCTTAGTCACTGTTGCACTGACGACCGATGCGGAGGTACAATCCGTTATCGATTAAACTTTCCTCGGCCCGCCTGTAGCTCAAATTCGAACGCGTCGCCATGGGTCTGAGTTTATTTAAATGTATACAGGTGAATCATGCACCTTTAAAACGACTGTATACTGTCGCTGGTGAAACCAAATAGGGTGGATTTTGGTCGACTGTACGGTAGACAACCAAATGTTTTTCTCGAGATATCGCGCGACGCAAATTAACAAAACAAACACGAGCATTAGCTTGTTCCTCTATGGAATAAAGCAATTATTCCCTCGACGCTCCATATTGCTTTTACTCAAGTTAGCTGCGTAAGTTGCGGAGAGCTATTAATTCGGCCAATTCATCCGGGGGCAGTGATACACAACTAGAAATCGCGCTGGTTATAAAACCTCCCGGCGTGCACACCGTCTCCTGACGTATACTTCTTATTTATCTGTTACAATAGAAGGCACTTATTGTAACATCGCAAGACAGAGGCGCAATGAACTTGCTTGTTTCTGTTCTGGAAAAACCAGTGCAATTAAAAGCAGATATAGAAGCTACGCGGCAACACCCGTGAAACTCTCGCCAACAACACGAAAAAATTCCTCGTTCGGGTAATTAAAATCTTCCTTTCATGCGCAGAGACACTGTATAACTTTTTTCCTGTAATTGTATATATCACTTATGAACGAATCTTACGGTTTTCCTGGACCAAAAAGATATGAAACGGACCAGAAAGAGATGCACGTCTTCCTAGTCATTAAAATAATTCAAGTAATTGGTACGACGGCGAGATGTATCCAAACGTTGCACCTGGCATCTTACGAACAAAAGCAGCGAATGATGAGCAAAGCGTAATAACAGCGGAAAAATGCCATTATCCCATCGAAAGGTATAATACGATTGAAAAAGGAATCTACAACGGCAAAAACATCTTAGGCGAGGAGAACTAACAGCAGCAGCATCCGAAAAAGAAGAAGAAGGAGGAGAAGGAGGAGGAAGCTTATATAGCCAGTAAGTTGTAATCGAAAAAGAAAAGCCAGCAGCAGCAGCAGCAGCTAAAGAGATATGCATCGCGCGCTTGGCAGCAGCAGCAGCAGCAGAGAGAAAGAGCAAAAACCTCGCGTGGTTTTCCGCGCGCGAGCACGAGAAGAATCGGTACATATACCCGGCCGGCGTACAGTACTATAGTCCTCCCATCGCTCTTTTCCTCTCGCGGCCGCGGAGCGCAGTTAGCGAGGAGTCTTTAACCTCCCGCTTCTCCGCCTCTCTCTCTCTCTCTCTCTCTCTCTCTCTCTTCACGCAGAGGCACGCCAATTTTTCCCGCCGCCGTCGCCGCTTGCCTGCCGACAGAGAAAGAGCCCTCGTGAATCTCTCATTCCGCGCGACGGACAGTCGCGCAAGCACCTCGCCTCCTGCATTATCGTCCTTCCGTGTAAGACGCCCGCACTGCTACTGTCGCTTTCCTTGTTGCATACTCGCTGCGCCCGCGCGATGAGTTTCCGCTGATCGGCTGACTTCTGTGTGTTTATCAAGACGGGCACGGGCGCGTGTTTGCACTCTGACATTTTCTATGAGCGTCGGGTTCATCGATACACGCTCTATCTTTTCTACTATGGCTAGCTTTCATACAGATTTTCATCGTTATCGTCGTCCATTCGATTCAACGCTTACGCCGATGAGCACTGCTCATTCTAATAGAGATTAATTCGGTTGTTTTGCAGGACAAGCAGTATCGTAAGTGAATTCACGAATATTCGACAAATTCCCCCCGCAGAACGCAATCACATAAATCAAGCGACCCTGGTCTTTCCTCGAAAAAATTAAAAAAAAAAATAGCTCAAGAGTTGGACAGAGCGTGCGCTGCATAAGCCAGACGCAAGCGAGAACTTGGCGAACAAACGTATTACAGCCTCGGCAGTGCTTTATGGCTGTGTACCGAACTCGTTTTCTCTCTTTCTCTTTTGCTCTCGCGAGTCATCATACTGGCGCTCCTCCTACCTCATCCCGTGAACCTTTACATATACGACTAGAATATAAACTATTACCTCCTCCGTGCGTCCGCGTCGAGCTCTACAGTCCCTGTTCGCTTAGCTCTGTTATACTCGAGGAACCGGTAATGCTACCGAGTGTCTCCGAAAATTTCTATCCATGAACTGTTCTTTGATCGTTCGACGCTTCTTTCTTCTTCGACTTTTCGGCCAACGAGTTAATTTTCTATACGCACAGTCCCCTTTCTTTTTTCTCTCGTTCAGTATTGTACATGTACTTTCACGTGCGCCAGCGTTCTTCTCAAAGTACCTGACTTTTCTTCGTGTCCTTTCATCCGAGCGCGTACGCGTGGGAGCGATGAGACACATTTTGCTTCGCGGTAATTATCATCGCGATTCTCTCAAAAGATCAAATATAATAAGTCGTCAAAGTGAAGTTTTCAGTGTAAAAGTAATTAGAGAAGCTGAAGGTTGGGACAGTGACGCATTGATCGCGAGATAAGCATAATTAAGGCTTGCAAGCGAGGACAATTTATGTGTATTTGCCGTAGGTCGACAACGTTGCGCGTCTCGTTTTCGTGTCTTTCTAGAGTGGGTGTTTGGAAGCATTTCTACGTATGGTTAAATAGTGAGAACGTTATTTAAACGAGATATCTGTCCGTGTTTAGCTCCTGAGCTGACTAACATGTTTTCAATTTATCACGCTATTGTGTTCGAAATTGAGCAAATCCGATGCGTTAATATTTATCTTAGTGCAAACGTTATGACATAGTTTATCTTTAAAAAATCTGCTTACAACATTATTAATTTTACCGCATGATTAAGGCGCTTTCATAGATTGGAATAAAAGAATGGAAATAAGGGCGGTAAATCGGCTTGGGAAATAATTGAAAATAATCTATCTGTCTTATCGTTAGCAAGATCGGCTCACCTATGCCGCCAGGATCATGAGAATCAAAGTGTTATAAGACAAATTCTGATGCAATCGCGAATATACGGCCTTCTTGGCGCGTCTATACAGTTTTATTTACAGCAATCCAGATGTTTAGCAAGTAATCCCTCGCACGGCAGGATTGAGTAGGCGCGCGCGGCTCGGTTAAATATCTTACAGAAATGATCCAGAAAAGTTTGGTTCGCGCGTCGGCCTTTTTTCTGCAGCCTGTCGGATCTCGTATTGTGCGGGCCCACCCCGGATGATATGTAAATGATCAAGATCTTTCGCCTCGGCATCTGATTTTGCTTTCTCACGTATAGCTGTGGCTGTTTCATAAGCAAAAATTTTTTCAAGCCTGCCTTTCATTGTTCTAGAAAGGTGCTTTTTTACACTCGATTTTCTTTCCCTCCCCTACCCGTGCGCGATTATTACTTGCGCTAACGAAATGTTGGTGTGCGTGAGAGATTGACGCGCAGGCGCTTACTTTCGCCGTGCAAAAAAAAACTTGTATAGCAAAGAGCCCCTGATTCCTGTCGCATACCCATGTGCGTATGTGTGTGCATAAACTAGAATGTAGAAGGAAGTTGTTCGAGAAACGACATACTTAATTTACTTTAATGCGTCGAGAGCGAGAGAGAGACGCTCGCTTTGAGGTTGAACTGTACCCGAACGCTTGCCTTCCTTTTTTTTTGATACTTCATTAATTCACGTGCTCGTAGTTGGTGAAATCTCAACTAGCGATTTCTCCCCGCCCAATTTTCCGTCATAACAACAACAACAAGAGCGAAATTGCTCTTGACATCTGCCAAAGTGAAGTCCCGTTGACGTAAGTTTTCCGTGACCAGATAGATCTAATAATTTCTTTTTCTCAGCGACTGCATTGGATACAGTTTAATTACCTTACGGTAACGTTTGATCAGCGCAGACGGTTTGTGCTGCACGCAGCAATCGCGAAGTCATGTTTGCTTACGCAGCTACACTCGAGAGCGCAATCCATCGTCGAAAATATTTGAGAAGTGGCATTTTTACCGATTCGACCGGTGACTTTAGAACGTTACGCGTCTGAATGAGCGACGGCAAATCGGGACAAGTTTTCCATTGTGAATCAGAGGAATGACCTGGAACGATTGCTCTTGGGGCTAGAGAAGTTGATTTTCTATAGAGTAGTTTTTCGATTCGAACGTGAATATCACCAAATAGCGATAGCTATCTTTGTCGCGTAGACCAGGTGTCACCGATAAAATCAGCCCTAATAGTAATTATCGTGGCGATCGATTGAATAGATTACAATTCACCCTGCAATGACTAATCCACCAATGAACACACGATCGTACGATGAAACGTCGTAAACCGAAGGCCGTGAAAAAGTAGGACGTTCATTTGGAAGTATCCGTGCGTAGCTTAAAAGAAAGGTCGATGTGGTATTTCACGAGCCGGAAGTCGCGTTCTCCAACGAGTCGACGGGCGGCTGTGTGGCGCATCGTTAGGAGCAAATCATTCGCAGGGCGATCGGAACAGGGAGCATATGCCCGAGCGTGCTCGACAAAGTCACCGGCAGGCAGTGAAAGAAGAAGAGCAGAGAAGCTTCGCGGCATGCTCCGATATAGCTACTAGTTGGCGAGTGTCTTACCGGCAGCGACTTCCTGCGTGGCGACGCAGGACAGCAGCAGTAACGAGCCGCAGGCCACAAGGGCGAGGACGGGCCATCCTTGCCTGGTCCTCGTCATCCTACCGCATTATTCGGGTAACCGGCGCTTCGGGCACTTGACTGTTTCTTGTTTTTCACTGGTCGTCGTTGCACACTTTAACTCGATCACTCGCGCAAGAAAGAGAAAGGAGATTCAGGTCATGTCTCCGTCCATGTGTAAACGTATACTCTCGCGAAATTCCGAGTTGCGCTCTTCTCCTTCTCGAGATATTTTTTGTTCGATCGACGACTTCCTTGAGAGAGAGAGAATGAGAGAGAGAGCGAGAGACAGAGAGAGAGAGAGAGAGAGAAGGAGATCAGGAACGGGAATGCCTGCGCACTGCTCCGACGCTCAGGAGAGAGTGCCAGGGAGACCTGCGAACCTGTGCCGCCACCGTTCACCGGCCCCTCCGCCGCGCGCTCACTCGTCTCGTTGCCTGGTCACCGCTCTCTCTCTCTCTCTCTCTTTCTCTCTCTCTCGTTCAGCGTGCTCTCCTGCAGCTATGGCTTTCCTTTGCTTCTCGCTCGCGCGTATATTTTCTCCACCTCGAGCAAGAGAGCAACGGAGACGGAGAACTTCGGGCTTTATGTGCTCTCTCGCGAGAAAGGAGACATTGGCTGTGTGTGATCCTCCCGCGGTCACCTGCGCGCCAGATACACCAATTACTCCGATTCCGCCAGCCTTGTTGTTTTTTTCTTTTTTACTTAACTGTTTTTTGTCTTAGTTGGTAGAGGATTTATCGATCATAGATCGCATTATAATAGCTATATGTCTAATTAGGTTATTCGATTCTCATTTATTGACTCGTTCGACTTTTCTTTTATTCTATCGTATGACATAAAATATGATAGCAACTTTTTTCTCTCAAAAAATAACGAATCTGAAGCGTACTGCAATAGTGTAATATTTATAAAGTATAGCTAAGGTTCTGTATACTTTATGCACTAGCGTGCAATCGTGAGTGTCATTTTAAAATCATACATCACGCCTGCATGAAATAAATTACTAGGAACAATGAAAATTTCGGAAATTGTAATCTTTTTCGAAGTTCTCTTCTTTACCATCAGACTAATGTTTATTGTAGCCTTCTAGATTTTATTTGTTTTCACGGTAAATTTTTCCTCGACAAGCGAGACGCGGTAGGTATGAAAACGAAGCTGAGGAATTCAACAAAGGCAAAGGCTCATCAGTCTGCCGGCACACCGACTTATTGACCTATATCTGTATAGGTGTTATGGATTACCTTCTCCGAAAGAGCAAGGGACCGCTTTGAATGCGCACCAAGAATATTAATTTTTCTCTAGCTTCTGAAACAAATCACTCACGAATGATTTTTATCTTGTGAGTCATAAGCTCGGATTGTTTAACATTGGTTTCCCGATTAAATAACGAAATAACTTTAATTGCATATAAAAATTATTATTCATTTTTTTCAACTTCATAAGTATCACATATTCCACATTTTAGAAATTGCTCTTGCATGTAGAAGCAGTTCACAGTCAATTTTCACGTTTAACTGATTAGTGCTTCATAATTTATATAGTTAGTTCTTGCTATATTAACCAAACTAAATAACCTGGTCAAGATTTTATTACTAAATTTTATTACTGATTGATAATAGCATACTCTCAATATTTCTACTACTTTTATATAATACTTCTAATACTTTCATTCAATACTAGAACTAGAATAATGGCCGTATGGTCAAAACGTATATAATTGACTGACATTAAAAAAGTATACCTTCAGGCAGATAGAAATTCGATATCTCATATACCCTCAAGCAATATTTTTCTTCATTACTTTCTTAACATTTCATTGCAACCGACAATGTGGAAGCATTTAGTCGCAGACTTACAGTTGCCGAACATTTCTCTTTAAGTCAGTACAATAAATGTTTATTGTACCGTTTGTAGTTTTGTAACATTTTTGGCCACTTGCACTTTTTAGGAAATATTTTTCAATACACTTAAAATAAAGAATAAAAGCAACTAACTCGTGTGTGATATAAAAATGATTCTGCATGTAAAATAAAAATTTATAGAGTTTGCAGAATAGAATTTTCTAATAATTCAAGTATCAATGGTTGATCAATTGAAATTAATTTTAATGATTATGTAATATTAATTTTTATAAAAAATAGGACAACCATCAGACAAATTGATATGTATATGACCAATGACGCGTCCGTGGTTATATACATGTGCCATTAATCTCCGTATTTTAATATCACTTTATTATGCTCGCAGCTGTTTAAAAATTCGAATATAATTAAATTGTAAAATATTTCAACAATGTCAAAAGAAACTTTTATATGTTTATTTAGTCGAATCCATACATTTGTTCTGTCTATAGTAATTTTAGGCTATTATTTTTTCTGAAGAGGCTTACAAATCTGTTAACGAAATGTATAAAAAGGGTTTTCTTTCCCTATTTGCCTACATCGATCAAGCACCGCGTCAACTGTGTGACAGGGAGAACAGCGATAAAACAAGTTATAATATCTTATTTAATAACGGTCATATTTCTAACAGCTGGAAAATAGGAAGTCATTTTCATAAAGTTAAAAGGATCAAAATGCGTCAGATCCTATTAGTTACAGGTCGATCAGACTGCTCCTAAATATCTCAACATGTTTGAAAACTGTTAAAAGGTACTATATATGATAAAATGGAAATAACAACAGCAACAATAATAGCAGTGCGATTTACCAGATTCTGAAGAATTGAATCGGGAATTGGAGTTGGTGGCGGACGAACTGCTTGTTTATATCGGTGAGATATTTGACGGCTGGCTCAAACAGCTGGGCTGCTACCCTCTTGTTTTGATAAACCGAGAAGGACTTTTTGTGAAAATAAGTCGACGAATTTTCGACTTACAGTGCAAAGCCAATTCGAGTTATTGGTGAATGTCGATAAAACTACTAACTTCAAATGGCGAATCCAATTACCTAAGAAGAATGAATTTATTGCGGATCCTTATTCATATGGCTTTTACCGCATCGTCGGTAATCATCGAAGTACGGTATTTCTGCAAAACTCTACGGAGTTGATTGGCAATGTAGCATAGTTTTTTCAATGTGGTGAGGGCAGGCGGTCTTGATCACTACTCGTCGTCGTTAATCCTAACTACTTTAAAATGGAAACCGATTACGCCCCGTGGATCACGGTAACGCGTGGAATACAGTTATTTAATAAAAAGCTCATGGAGCACACCATTGCGCATCGAGCTTTTCAAATATGGTTTTGATTGATTGAACAACCACGGTTTCATAACTGCTTCATAAAAATATTCTTTATTCAGTGCTTCGCACTTGATATCAGTCCAATTTATTATAATCTGCATCTAGATGCAATTCTTTCTACGGTTCACTCTATGAGTTTTGAGAATTGTGTAGTCAATGTAAAATCAATATTTAATTCATGGATCGACGATTATAACGAAACAAGACGAGGCTTAAAAGCACATTTTCACATTAATTAACCTTTATCTATTTTCAGCGTATCAGCAAATTTAAAAAATACCATCTAATATCACGAATGGTAGTGATCAAGATTGGATAAAATACGGAAACGATTTTCGCAAATACATTTTAAAGTAAACAAAGAAATCATAAATGATGCTTTGGCTTCGACTGAAACTATTTCGTTGACATATACATAGATTATTATGGACTTTTTATAGTTTTTCAGTTCGACAATATTTTAATGACATACTTATGATTTTAGATACCTCGAATTTTCCATTCAACATGACTAACGTAGTATAAAACAATACAGACTTATGATAGTGTGCAAGCTTTAATAAGCATCAATAAAATGATTTCGATAATAAATTATGTTTATTTTTGTTACATATATATTTATCATTCTTAATGTAGGTACATGCAATTAATTTTGATTTATTTTCATACAGGAAAGGTAATGAATTTATAGAAAAAATATTGGAATTATTTGGTAAATAGATAATAAGTTCAGACAAAAAATTCAATGAGGTATAACATAGAACTTGAAATGATTGTTAGCTAGTGAATATACAAAGATAATATATTGTGTAGACAAAATATATATTTCTTTAGTTAATCACCATGAATGAAAATGTCGGGATTCATGAAGCTGTTAGTTCAAGCTGGAAAAAAAGCAATAAAAACGGTCGATGATAATGTTGAATGGGTAGAGAGATGTTCTAGAAAATGAACGTGCATGAAATTGGATATTTCATATTTATGAATCAGTAGTGAAAAGTTTTACTTAAGAATTTTTTGCTAACACACTATAAAATCATCATTTATAATATAAAAAAATGCTGAATATAATAGAAGTATGTATATACAAATTAAAACAGTTGAAATAAATTTTATTTTATTTTAAATAAACATATTATTTTTATATACAAAAAAATTACATTATTTGGTGAACATTTTAGTTTACCCATGGAAAAAGTTAAGACTTTAGGGACTTAGCCTGCAGACCATGTGTAACATTTATTTTTATTTTACGAATTCATTTCTAATAATTAATTCATTTTTACACTTTTATGTATGTCTGGCATCATAACTTCTCCATTGTCCGATGGTTCTTATGTAGAAAGTCTCTTAACAATGTCATTTGCTTAGATTACATTAATTTACAGATTCATTTTCAATACAATTTTGTCTATAATTGTTTTTCATCTCTTTGTAGAAATCATAATAGGTGTCCTCAAAAGAATCATTCAAATTCACTTTGTAAACAGAACTATCAAAATTATTTGCAAGATTTTTCAAGTTTTTAGAATAATTTACATTTTTAAAAGGTATAGTTGGTTTAAATTTACCAATAAATACTTCATATTCATTAAGGATACTTTCAGGGGATAATTTTAAAATATTGGTTAGCATTTCATTGTTTTTTCTGTCAGTTAAATCTGATGCCACATATTTGCTGAGCATTCCAACACTAGTATGATAGTGTCGTTGCAGGGCTACAGTTTCCCACAAACTTGTACAATGAGCATTGCAGTATTCTGGATCATCTAATTCCGGCAAATATGAACCATCTCCAATAGTGCAGTCTGTATCTAATAAAATATTAGCTGTTTTATAATTTTGCATAACTAATCTACAGATAGTAAGTATTGCTAAAGTTCCATCGTGATGCAAGCTAAGAGCCATAGTACATGTTCTCTTCAAAAAAGCAAGTATACATTTTTGAGTTCCATTTCTTCTGGTTATGAGAAGTAAACGCAAGATTTTTACAATGATTTCAATATTAACATTATTTTTCCCAATATCTACATCTAATAAGTATTTGTAAAGATGTGTGTAGAATCTGGTAGGATCGATGTTCAAAACTGAACCCTGTTTTGATATAATTATACTAATTGTATAAATACAGTGCAGCCTTTGTTTTAGAGTTAAATTATCTTGTTTCAGTAAACCATCTAAAACATGTATCAGGTCTTGATAAATGTCAATGTTTATACAATCTGAAAACTTTGATAAACCTTCTAGACAGACCGTTAAAACATTGTTGTTAGAAGCCTGCTTCAAAATACGAAAATAAATAGTAAACAGTATATTTGCTATGTCAGTAAAATTTTGTTGTTTTTTCAGCTGATTTTCGTTACCCTTGGTTTCCAACAACTCTTTTTCTATTCCTTCTAATTTTGCTTTTCTTTTCCTTTCTTTTTTACTAAGGGCACGTATTCTATTTTTATGAGCCATCAGTTTATGATTTTTCAACTCAACCTCTTTCTCTTTATCAAGATCAATTTGTTGCAAACGCAAATTGAGCATAACAGATATTGTTTCCATGTGTACAATATTTTTATGAGCTTTAATGAATTTATTCAAACCTTGAACTATATTTAAGGATATTTCTCCTTTTTTATCCTCTTTGAAAACTTGTCCAAAACAGGTTGCTACAAGAGTTCTTATACTTCTAGAATGATTATTTAAAAATGGAACCAAGTAATGACTTATGTTTGATGCAAAGTTGAAGTATGGTTTTGTAAGAAGAAGATCACACATGCTTTTAATGGCAAATGTTCCTAAGAGAATATTTTGTTTTTTTGAATCTTGCGAATGTTGCTTTTGCTTCAATACTCCTGATATTTTTTCCAGTTTCTGTAAATACTGCTTATAATATTTCAACAATGATGATTCAAAATTTCTTAGTGCTAAAGTCTCTTTTTTTAGTTTAGTTCCTTCATCATTGATTGATTTAATTGTGTAAAAAGGCAAAAGATCTTTGAATATTTCTAATAAAGAAGCAATAACTAATTTTTGAACAGTAATATGTACATCTGGGTCATATTTTTTTATAATATTTAATAGCGTCTGAAAATTATATAATTTCTCTGTAGGATTTTCCAAAATTTCTGATGATAATATACCAATTTGGTAACGAAATAATTTAATTTTCTCTTCACGTTTGGACAGTAGTTGCACCAGTGAAACTACTTTTGGTTCGTCATTCTTATTTAATGTCGGCTCAAATTCGTGACTCTCCGTAACTTTTTGATTAACTGTTGCATTATCATTCTTTTTTTTTGCTTTACGTAAGCCTTTAAACATGCGTTTTTCAAGTAAACCTTTTTCATTTTTTGTCGGTAAAAGTAGCTTCACATTAGTAGAGTCATTGTTTATATTTACAGTTTTCAAATAGGCGTCTTCAAACCTCATCTTGATGAATTTGATTGCTTCTAGATTTGGTCGATACTTTTTCTAAAGTATCTAATTTATAGAAAATAACACTGTAATAACAATATACGAAATTGAAAAAGGATTTTTTAAATCTACGCTTAAAATACTATAATAAATTATATTTGATTAATTTAAACACTATTATACTTACAAGTAACCTCAAAATTACACGTGGACCCCGCTCAGCGGTATGTTTTTGGCTTTTGCCTTATAGTCGTATCCGTTTGTCAGTGATGTCACGTTACTCAGTACAGTGACTAGCGATTATTCCATAAATATAATAGTAACAAAGTATTTAAATTTTCAATGTCACAATCCCGCTTGTCTAAACATAAACAATTTTGGAAAATAATATTATTTATTATTTTCCATCGTCAGAATCTTGTAATTACTAAATCCAAACGAGACATAATTTTAAAAACTAAACAAGAATCTATGTGTGAGATGTAACAAGATAAAATAGCATTTAAAACAAATACAAATTTGATAAATGTATAATGAATAAAAATTTGAATAATTTATAATCCTAAATTCTACTTATCATTTTTTTTATTTTTTATAAAAATTCAAAAAGATTAATATTTTTCGATACTCCGTGCGCAAAGTACGTCTTTCCCGCACGCTCGACAGAAAACGTGAGTAGAAAATCGCACAACTTTCCACACGTCGTATAAAAAAATACGGTATGGCACGTGTTCGGGAAAGAGTTTCTCGTCTCGTGTACTGTTCCACCCTCGCTTTGCTCGGGCGTAAACGCTACACGAGACCAAAATCTACTTTCCCGCACTTGTATCGTAATGTACTAATACTTCTTGATAAGTATATATACATGTGTGCACATAATATTAATTGAAATCATTGATATTCATTCAAAGATTTTCATTAAAAGATTTTCAAAAAATCGATTGCTTTTAAAATATTTTTTTCATTCCAAGTAAAATAGAATAAAATAGAACCACTGAAAGTTCAAATGTAAATATATATCGTAACTGTTTTTCAGATGTTATAATAAAATATAAATTGTTTTAATTTGTACAATTCCAAGCAGCAAGAATTGATTAAAATATGTTGCTGCAACTATAAATTTTGAAATATCTCCAATATTTACGGCAACCAATAACAATTTTACAAATATGTTGCCACAACTTTCAAAATATCCGCCTTTGTTTCCCAAATTATGTTAACAAAACGTTTCTAGAATGCAAGTTGTAATTTTTCATTTTCTGAGGCAATCTTTGTGTAACATTTTTACAACATTTTTATAAAAAGTTCATGAAATATTGACTCAATCTTGTTACAACCTTTTCTTAATTTTAAAATCATTTCTTTATATAGAAATGAATATTTATGCAATATTTCTGCAACATTTTTGCAGCTTGATAGGTGCAAACTGTTGACTCGACGTCGTGGCAACTATTCTGAAACAAATGAAATATAGGTCAGTACTTAAAATTTGTATATATGAGCAAAAATTATTGTATAGAAGAGTGTCAGTGATGTTAAGCTAACATTTTTTATTTGGTTGTAAAAATGTTACAGAAATATTGCAATAAGACTGCTTCACAAAATGAAAAAGTATAACTTGTTATAATTTGTTATGTTTTCTGTTAAACTTACACAGTAATTTTTTTAATAATCACAGATTTTAAAAGGAATCTATTTGCACTTTTTTTTCAATATAAAATCAAAAAGTTGAATATAATTTTAGTACATTAGTGTTTATTAAAAAAAAAACACAGAATAGTGTCTGCCAATTTTTCTGTAAAATTAGAAACTTTTCTCATATGTTTAGATATATAAGAAATTACGTCTATTTCTCATTTAATACTCAATTTATCATTATAAAATGTTCGTTGGAAAAAATTGTATCATATAAATCAAACTACGTTAGAAACTATTCATAAAATCTTTAATAAAATATATTTTTGTCGAAATCGACTTCTTAATTTATAAAATTTTGTTGTGTAGCGATTATATGCAAGACTGCAATTTTGCATGTTTGAATTTGTTTATATAAAAATTTAGAAATTGTACAGAAGCTATAATATTCGAAATTTAATTTATTTTCAGTATGCTAATTACCATTGTAATTTGCAAGCCAACAGCATCTTAATATTTAAATTTTATAGTGAAATTTTTAAATTAATCTAAAATAGAATAAATGTTGTATTCTGAGTGGTACTGAAAAATCATACAAATTACTACCATAAATTTTTGTTATGCTTATTGTTAGTAAAAATAAAATTAGAATGTATCTAAGTTTTTGAAAAAGTTTGATCTATATTTGATACTCATAATTCAATGGATAAAGAAATCCAGTCTAGCCTAAACATCTTTTTCTACTAAAGAATAGAGATTCAACCTAGGGTAAAAATCTTTTGAATAATTAACGTTTTATTATATATTTCGAAATGAAAAAGACTGCAAGATGACAGCTGGTTTTTAAATAACAAATGAATGAAAGTATATGTACTTCCTTATCTATCAGCGATAATCAAACGATAGCTTAATTTATCTATATAATGAGAAAGTAGGGAGATTCGAGGACGTTACCAACAAATGCAAGTATAGATGCACGCGGTGTAACGTTATATGGCTAAATAGGAATGATAAAGACCGTGGAAGTGTGCATTATGTAGTATCAGAAGCTCGGCAATTAGTAAAAGAAGCAAAGCTAGATAAAGCAGTAGCTGCGCTTTATTTGACGCGAACAGTTGTACTCTCGTATATATAGAAAGCACCATTCTCAATTTTACAGTAGGCTTGAAAACATGATAGCGTTCCAATGCTTAATAATCTATTTTCTGACGCAAGTTTACGATATTTACGCAGTGCCGTTAACTATAAACAACAATTTCGATATATCAAACAAAGACAACTCTTCGCTGTACCGGCTTCCGAACACTGTTCGTCCTATCTCTTATAACATCACCTTACTGACCAATGTGACAAGAGGTGATTTCACTTACAAAGGTATGCTGATTATTGATTTAAATGTGACAAGTGAAACGAAAGAAATTATTCTTCACGCGGAGATGCTGGAAATAAATCAAGAAATATCCGAGTTGCAAAAGAAGATAATCACGGAAATAGGATTGGAATGGGAAAATATACACATACATTCGCAAAACTACGATGGAGAGACTCAGTTTTATAAAATAATTTTTGCACACTTCTTAATGCCCGGATATTATCAGTTGACGCTTCACTTTGTTGCCGAAGTACTTGACGATCTGTTTGGCTTTTATCGGACTTCTTATAAAAAGGAAAATCAAGTAAGGTACCTAAATTAAAATGTTTATGCACGAAAGAAATTCTCTACTACCTCTGAAGGACTGCTTATCAAAAAATTAAACGTCTGCATATTTGATAAAACTCAATAGATGGATGGCTATTACTCAATTTTCACCAACTTTTGCTCGAAGAGCTTTTCCTTGCATGGACGAGCCTGGATTCAAAGCTACTTTTCAGCTCAATATAGGACATTATTCGAATGAAACCGTTACTTCAAACACGTTTGCGGAATCGCAACAGATACTCTTTACGTAAGTCACATTTGATTGTCCTACTTTGAATTCCTATTTTTTTTAACTGACACGCAAATGCAGTCAGATAATTAAAACTCGAAGCCTTAAAATTATAAATTTATTCCATATCCTTTTATGTAAATTAAATTTAAAAAGTTTTTATACAAGTTTAGTATCATTTTGTCAATTATAAACATCTTATTTTATCTTCATCTCTGATAATTTCTCATTCAATTTATTGCATTGGTATCTGCAAAACAATTCTCTCTTTACGTAAAGCAATTATTAATTGTAAGTTTTTAAATCCATTAAATTACGGAGAAATTAATAAGAAAAGATTTTGTTTTCGTAATAAGCTTTTCTCTCAATCGTCACGTTATTTAGTAATATTTGTATGAATTTTACTTTATGAAAAATTTATTATTATAGAGACGAAGAATTGGGAGACTATTATATTACACATTTCGCGAAAACACCGCGAATGTCGACGTATTTAGTAGGCTGGGCCGTCCACGACTTCGATTGGATCAATTCAACAAAGTTACACATGTGGCTGGGGTCACGTGTGCAGAACATCAATTCGACCAATAGCCCAATTCTTTGTGAAGGACCCCTCATCGAAGCAGCTCTGGAAACTTACACTGCTATGTCGAATCCAGTGCGCAAGTTCGAGCAATTAGCCATACCCGACTTCTATTTCAGCGCGATGGAAAATTGGGGCATGGTTACTTATCGCGAGGCAGTTGGGTTGACTAGTTACGATTCGACGCCATTGCGAACGATTTTTAGCCAACTTATAACTCAAGCTCACGAATATTCGCACAGTTACTTTGGAAATCTCGTGACTCCAAATTTTTGGGACGTCGCCTGGCTCAAAGAGGGTTTTGCAACGTACTTTGCATACCTGAGTCTTGGTAATCTTCACGAGGATTGGCGAACCGTGGATATATTCGCGGTTTCCGAGTTACAAAGTGCCTTACTTTCGGATTCTGGCACTGACAGTAATAGAACAATGAACGATCGTTGGGTTGGCAGTCCTAGTTCGGCTAAGGCTGCCCTTGATTTTGTCACCTATGCTAAAGGTCTTGTAAAACACTCCCTTCGTGTCAAATATAAAGTTTATTCAACTGAAACAATGATTTTTCTGATTAGGCGCATCTATCATTCGCATGTTCGCCGACGTACTTGGAGCAAAACCATTCAGGCGCGCAATCAACTCTTACCTCAGACGTAGGTAAGAATCACTGAGAATCCATTATCACACGAACAAAACAATGACAATTTATTTACATAGAAAGTACGAGTCAATCATCCCCGAAGATTTTTATCAAGAATTGGACTTGGTAGCGAGTGAATTACCTGTAAAAATTGGCGAATTGTTCGATAGTTGGGCAAACCAGACCAATTATCCACTTGTCCAAGCCTTTGGTAATGTGAGCCAAGTAACATTGTCTCAGCGTTCATTCGATTTCAGTGGCGATACAACAGCAAAACGTTGGTGGATTCCGATCCAGATTCTTACTCCTACTTTTGAGTCTAAGTTGCATTGGTTGCCAGCGAACAACGAGTCATTATCCGTCAAACTACCAAAACAGTCTCCATGGTTCGTAGTGAATCCTCGTCTGAGCGGTTATTATCGTGTTGATTACGAAATAGAAAACTGGCAGGCTCTGATTACATTTCTTAAGTTGGGGTCGTTAGAAAGCTTGCCCAGTGTCAGCCGTGCGGCTCTTATTGACGATGCTTTCAATCTGGCGAGAGCGAGCTTGCGCAATTACTCGCTGCCTCTGACGCTCATTGCCTATCTCAAACGAGAACGAGACTATGTACCGTGGATTACTGTTTCGCGGATCGTCAGTTTCCTCGATGATAAACTTCGAGATCGACCTGACACTCAGCAAACTTTTCGAGTATGTTCATTGTATGTTGCACCTTATCCACGTACTTGTTACATTACTTATTTAGATTTCCTCATTAGCGCTATGTGATTGAGCTAATAAAGCCAATTTATGAAGAACTGACAACCAAAGAGAAGGCTTCTGATATACTTATTAGAAAAATGCATCGAGAATTAATTTTGTCTCTTGCTTGCTCTGTCGGATTGGAGTCGTGTATAACTACAGCAAAATCTACTTTTGACAGATGGATTGCCAACGAGATTGAAACGTATGTAGATTTAGATTACGTCGCTTTGCTGTTTACACATTGGTTTGTTTTTCATTTATTTACAGATACATATTAGTTTTCTGCCGAACCTTCGAATGTTTTAAACTTTCGAGTGTTCGACCTGTTCAAATATTTTTACAAATTAGAAAAAGCCAACAAACTTGAAGCAGCAAGGCCAATTTTGCAACTATTATAAAAGTCTAAAACATAAGCATATTGTATGTAGGTGGCGTTTCTATAGTTTTGTTTATAATCGTTAATTTTTTTTCTAGGATACCAAAACATTTTAAAAGTTTTATATACCGTATTGGAATAATCAATGGCAGTGACCAAGATTGGGAAAATCTGTGGAACCGATTTTTACAGATGGATTCTTATGTAGATAAAGCAATCATGATTGAGGCTATAGCTTCTACTGACAATCGCGCTTTTATCCATAAGCACGTATACATAGTTTTTTAATCATGAATAATACTTTTATATCAATTTTAAAAAACGTAATTGCTGCGACGATTTTAGATTCCTTGAATTCGCTATTCAACCTCAATCTGATATTGTAAAGCAATACCGATTGACAATAGTGCAATCGGTCCTGAATAAAAATATGACTACAACTTTAAAATATATACAGAGCAACTTATCAAAAATTATTAGCTTGTAAGTAAATTATAAAATATAATTCAAATTCATCAAGTATATATGAGTAGGTTAATATTATAAATTTTGTGATTCTGTTTTGGCAGAGGAGGTTTTAAGTTCCTGGAAAAAATAATGAGTGCGTTTGGAGAACGAATCACAACCGTTAAACAGGAACAAGAGGTAATTATACTTCAATGTTACTGTATTTAATAAGATAATTTATGACCAAACTTTGTTCTATAGTTCATGCGATTTTTGGATCAAAACTCTCAAATTCTTGGATCTTCATTAGGAAGTGGAAAAAAAGCGCTGAAAACGGCCAACGATAATATCAAATGGATTAGTCGATGTGCTGCGCAAATTCAGGAATATATTGATAAGAATTTATTTGTACTATAAGTATCTAAAGATATTTTCAATTGGAAAACCTTTAGACTATATTAAATTGTAAATACGTAGGACCTGGAAACTTCTTTTATAATTTCAGTATCTCTTCCATTGTCCGAAGAATTAAAGAATCAGAATAATAAGATTTATAATTTCATTAGAATCCCTTTTTCATAGTGCAGTTTTTTTTAATAGTTTGTTTACAACATTTATGAAATATATTCATCCTATTTGTTTGCAGCATATGCGCTCCACGAGCACATCAATGGGATAAGAAAAAGTTGAGTTGAGTTTGCTTTATTTCACTACAGGGTGGAACCCCGTTTGGTGTGTTAAAAATACAGCAGAGATTTATAGTAGTGGTAAATTATTATTCATAATTAATTATTGCATCGCTTAAGATATACTTGCATTAAGCATCTATAAAACAGTTATCTATAAAATAATTACGAAGTAGTATAGAGAGAGAACTAGAACGGTTACGCCTGCAAGTCTTCTCTGAGACGTGGACTCTGTATTCCAAGAAATACGTATCAAGTTAATCAGGCTTTGACGTAGATAGTACTATAAAGCAGAATACCCCAAGGGAGTATAAACGCTTAGCGGAGAGAGTAAGCCAATTTAAGCAGAGTCTATGATACATGACATGTGAGATAATATTTTTAAAGGGTATGACAGGAACAAGATCTATTACGAATCTGATACAGGAATTCTGTGCCACCTGCAAGACAGATACTTTTGTTTTATCGAGATTTTGATAAATTATTAAACAATATTAAAATTGTGAGTAAGTCAGTGTTTCTACGAGTTATTTTCTTAAAATAAAGCATAGTGATTTATATAAAATTTTAAAGAGTGTAGCGACGCATAGACATTCCTAACTATCTTTTTAACATGAAGCTTCCAATCAAGAGTATTTGAAATAGTGACGCCAAGATTGAGAACTATTATTGAACAGGTAATACCAGTTTTATTTACGATAATGTGAAGAAGCAACGATAAATCAATCCTCGCTATACACAGTTCACTGCCAATAATAATTACTCTTGTTTTTAATGAATTCAAATTTAATCCATTTTGGGAAGCTCACTAAACAACTGCATTTACTTTGAGTTGAGCTTTACTAATGACATAATGGAGATCATTTTTTGCGCAATGTAGATATATTTGTGTATCGTAAAAGAGATAATAGAATATATCATAAAAGAGATAATATCCGCTAAGTAAGAGAAAAATCATTGTAAAGTAATATTATAGTAGTTCAGGGAGCTGAGTTTACGTATTAGTATATCGCGCTGAATAGACTCAAATGGTTTAAAAATATCAAATGAAATAAAGGTTGTGAGTTTCCTATCGTCTATAGCATGCCTGATATCATCAGTGCTATTAAAGCTGTATTTGAGTACAGTGGTCACGACGAAAACCATCTGACGGGCGCTCAAACTATTATTAGATTTGAGAAAGATCTTTTCCAGAAAGGAGGAAAAGTACCTAATTAGTATAACAATGTATGTTCTAGGACACTCTGCAGAGGGTCCCGGAGGCCTAGAACATACGTATGTTCTGGGCCACTCTGCGGGGGGGGGGGGGATCCTTGGCCTAACCCTTCCTGGCCTATCTCTTCTGTGTTAATTATTATTATTGTTATTATTATTAATTATGTATATTTTAGAGGAAGATTCCTAGGGCCCCTAGTCCCTAGGAACCCGAATGCTTTCTGTCTCATTTATTTAAATGTATTTTAAATAGTTATAAATATTATTAATATTTTAATTCTTAAATTGAAAATGAATAGAAAGGGTTAATTGAAAAAATAAAGGGAAAATTGCACCGACATCCTCTGGCAAGCTAGCGCTCTGCTACTAAGGCCACTGCCACATGTACCTTAAAGAATGCTTATTATGTATATTAGCTACACACATTCGATGTAGATAGGGCCCGAGCTTGCGGAGGAGGGTAGCGAGTGTTTAGCGTGGTTTGGCGGCTCTCACTTTCTCTCTCTCTGGCTCAGCGTGGCTTCGTGGCGTGTGGAGGCGGAGGAAAGCGCGTGCTCTCGCGCTTTCTCTCTTTCTCTCTCGCTCTGGCTCTGAAAAAGATCCGCCCGCCGCGCTAGGAGAGCGTCAACACCTCTGGGGTGTTGCTACTCGTAGTACCACTGCTTTCAATTCGACAATTTGCCCATGCAACGCTGTGAGGGCTGTCCCCGTCTCCGAGTCGTCGGAACTGCGTGCACCGCGTAGTGGCACCACCCTCCTTCTCTGCGAAGTCACTCACCGAAGTGTGAGCGTCGTCAATCTGTGGGTAAGAGAGCTCTCGCGAAACTTTACTAGAACTGGTCAGTGTCTTCACCGCCTTGTACGGGCCACGCGAGGCCTATTATCTTTGTTTTTAATGTACCACGCGCGTTACGTCTAAATTAATTATTCATTTTTTTATAAATTGTTAGTTTCAAATATTACTTGTTAATTTTTTGCGGCTTTTTTCTTTCTCACTTAGAGGAAGTTTTTTTTATGCCAGTAAATCTGAAGGTTTTCATCTTTCGAATTGTACTGTTTATTTCAAAACATCTGCACACTCCCATATCCAACTTAATTCATTAACCTATGTATGGTGTCAATGATAAATATCTCTCAACCCTCAGAACCTAGAAAGGTAGAACAGTTAGCACTTTTCTTATAGGCCAATCAATGAAGTCAAAAAAAGGCATTTTGTAACGTAAATCCTAACAGCAAACCAACTATCCAAAGTTGTTCATTGCTATACGTAGATGAAAACGTATGTTTTCAATTCGAAATTTTCGTTTAAAAACTTTTTACAGCTGTAACGTCGGTTGACGAAACAATTCTCAGGCGCACTTTTTTGGTCTATCCTTACGGAAAATAACCGGGACGTGCGTCACCACTATCGCGGAAAATTCTTTTTTCGGCGACGGAGGATTGAAGCTTTACTATACCACACGCTAGGCAATATAGCAATGCTTCGCGTTATTTTACCACACTCTTGGCAATAAAATAATGTAAAGGGGGGGCTTATCTAATATGCACTCGACCACACGCTTGGCAATCGAGTGTAACTATCTAAAAAGACAGACCGTCCGCGAAACTAAAATAGGAAAGAATAAGGAGAAAAAAGGATATAAAAAGAAGTTAGAGTAAAAAATTTATTTTGATTTTCTTTACTTACTTTTGCCTTAATTTCCCACACACACACTGGAAGGAATAACTATAACTTTCGAACTAGACGAACTTTGAAAAAACAGCAAACTAATTTGGAATGGTTACACGAACTGAATTTAGAAAATAACTGCCTAATTTTCTTGAAAAGCTCTCTTTTATACTTTTCGCAAGAGACTCCCACTCGAAAATCTTTGTTATTTTTGGGCAGGAAGAACTTAAATTTTCTCAACTTAATTGGTTGGAAAATTTGGGGAGTGTCTCAAGCGTAAGCAAAATTCGAACCGTAATTGGCCGGGGGCGGAATGTGCGGGAGTGGCCTCATCTCTTTGTTTTTGACCATCTTGCATAATGTCCTGTGGCTCGGCCATTAGAGTTGTACATTAGTTGAAACAAGTTTTAGAACGTACATTAAATGATCTACAACTTTCTCAGTTCAATTTTTGTTCTAAAATTAGTTTAAAAGGGTGAAATTTGCAGTTAAATATCGGACAAAATGCGCCTGGACGTCAAAGAAAACAAGTGGTGGGGATATAAGTTCCGGTGGGCGAGAAGAGAGTATAATAGAAAAGCATGGCTCTCGGCATTTGTAATATTACTTCGTTCTGAATACGCTATTTGTTTACATTTTTTTTATTTTTCAGGTAATTAGACTATGATAATCATCTTGTTTAATGTGATTTGGCCTATCATGACAATTGATGTTTTTATCAACAATTAAAATAAAAAAATCTGAAAATACATGATCGGTAAACAAAGTATTACTTAAAATAAAGAATATTATTAATATAATTATTCTCCATTTTCATAATTTTTTACTTAAATTGATGATAAAAACATAAATTGTCATGATAGGTAAAATGATATGAAACCAGAAGTTTATAGTCTAATCACCCGAAAAATAAAAAAATTTTTAAGTAAAATAGAGTAAATATACTCAGAAATAATAGTACATTACGATACAAGTACGGGAAAATAGATTCTTGTCTTGTGTGGCGTTTACGCCCGAGCGAAGCGAGCATAATATAATCTTGAGACGTATTACGTTGAAGGAATCTAATTTTAATAAACGATAGAAAATGTGAGAAAAAAAATTTATTTCACGAATACTCTTATTATAAATACGAATATATATTTATGCCTACATCGTATTTAATATAATTAAGTTTTTAAGCAATTTTTCTTTTATGATAGATTAGATTTCTGCAATGTGGCTTGCCTTAACTTCTGTTACCAAAAAAAGCTTATATTTATATAAAATTAATTATACGTTCGATCTTATAAATAATAGTTTTGTTGTTAATTTACATTTTTTAAATGAATTTAAAATGAACATCGGTTTTGTGATGAATACCATCGGCGTACCGCACATATATATTGGACTGGGCAACGTTTAAGGCCCCGGTCCCATAGGTACGTACGGATACGGACGGATACGGACGCGAATCGCAACTCTAGTAACATCATTAAAAATATCTAGTTCGATTATTTAGTACCAACACTACCGGTATTGAGCAAAAGTGACTGTTGTTTGAAACTGTAGCGCCGAACGTACCACATTTAATGAACGCCTATCTAATCTTTACATTATTGCAGTCTATAAGATGGCAAATGATAGAGAATTGATAGATTTTCAACTACAATTAGTGGAATTAGGCCTTAATTTTATGGAAGTACTTGAATATATGAGAAGAAGAAGAAAAAATATATAAATTATATGTATTAATCATCCCAAAAGCTTTTTTTACATTAGCATACTCATCAATAAGCAATATTCATGAGAATTTGAAAAGTAAATTGTAAACCTGACATTTGAACGTTAAATGTGGTACGTTCGGCGCTACAGTTTTAAACAACAGCCACTTTTACTCACTACCGGTAGTGTTGGTACTAAATAATCGAACTAGATATTTTTAGTGATGTCACTACAGTTGCGATTCGCGTCCGTACGTACATACGTGCCTGTGGGACCGGGTTCTAAGGCCCTCGCCACATATGCGCATATGCACGCGTACGAGGGCGTACAAACGCGTACAAATCGCTAAAAATTTTGATAGTGCCAACAACAGAAAGTTACTACTATTCCACGCATGCCTCAAACGAACACACTTACTCTCGGAACAAACGTATCATACGGGAGTGTGTTCGTTTGGGGCATGCGAGGAATAGTAGTAACTTTCTGTTGGCACTATCAAAATTTTTAGCGATTTGTACGCCCTCGTACGCGCGCGTATGCGCATATGTGGCGAGGGCCTAATATACTGAGCAATGTCCAAGTGCGCATGACCAACACCACAATAAGGTCCCACAGAAGTGAGCAAGCGGCGCATGCGCACTACAATTTTCGCTCCCACTCCACACAAGATCTATTCAACTCAAACTCTCTGTTAAGTAAACTGCTGGAAGCTTTTTGACAGAATCGCCCAACCCTGAACTATCCGAATTATTATTGTCAATCGACAATTAAGCATCAATGACATCAAACAAGGTTAGGTTAAAGGGCTTATTTTATCCATACAACTTTGTCAGAAAATATTCATTTGATGCCATCGATTCTCAATCGTCGAAAATAATTTAAATCTTCAATTTCACGAGAATAAATGTCCAGGCAGAGTATATGTACATATTTCAAAAGGCTACAGCCGATTGGTAGCCAAGCAAAACCAATCCGAGTTATCGAAATTATTAAAAATATATCTAAGTATGTAGAGAAAAGAGCGGAGTTGAATATCTCTGATGACATCAGTTTTTGTTTTTTTTTTTTAGACAGGTCTGTATCACATATCACATTCTGTGAAATATTACGTCACATGCCGGCTTGCTCTTGATAGTTGCTTGGCTGCTATATCTGACTATACTTATACACAGCTCGCATCGAGTATTGTATGCATGCCGGGGTATGTCTTATACAAATGTTATTTGCTGCGTGAACATTCACCAATCTCTGCATTCACCTCTTGCTGGCTATTAAACTTGCAAAGTTGTAACTAATAAAAATATATACATTGTGATATAGGTTTGAAGGATATTTTTCTAATTCTCATTGAAAAAAAAGTAACGTGGGCATTTGTAATCTAAGAATAAAGAAAGGTTTGGAGTTGAAAAGTATTGAGAGTGCGTAAAGTAAAATGGGAGTGCCAAAATTTTACCGTTTTATAAGTGATAGATATCCGTGTATCAACAAAATCGTTAAGGAATATGAGGTATGTATAACGTAACTTATAGGTAATTATTTATTCATATTATAAATTACCTATTTTGAAATAAAAAAATTACACGTGATTTTAAAAAATGTCAGTTTTTCAAAAAAAGTAATCGTAAAAACCTCTTGTATTTTACAATTATTAAATTTTTTCCTGCGTGATTATTGTTTAAAAATTATAAATTAAAAAAACATTAAAGTGTACTCTTTTTCAGATTCCTGAATATGACAATTTATATCTGGATATGAATAGTATGATTCATTCTTGTGCTCATCCAAGTGATTCAGATGTGCACTTTCGAATTGGAAAGAAAGAATTTTCTGATGAGGATATATATCAAAATGTTTGTCGTTATATTGAAATCATATTTTCTATTGTTAAACCCATTGATTTAATGTATTTAGCATTTGATGGTGTTGCTCCAAGAGCAAAGATGAATCAGCAGCGGGGTCATCGTTTTAGATATGCAAAAGTTGTTAATGAGGCACTTATAAAAAATCAAGTGATTCCAGAAGATACACTTTTTGATGCAAATTGTATAACGACAGGAACTGTCTTTATGGATGAACTCATATGTCATGTAAGACATTTTGTAGCTTACAAAATCTCCACTGATTCCGCTTGGCAAAAGTGTAAAATTTTTGTTAGTGGACCAGAGGTAAAAGTTTTAAAATTTTTATTATATGGTTATTAGATATACTTCAAACAGCAGTGATCAACAACATTGGTATGCTTTATCTATTTTTCAGGTACCTGGTGAAGGAGAACATAAAATTATGGAGTTCATAAGATATAACAAAGCTCAGCCAAATTATAATCAAAATACAAGACATTGTTTACACAGTATTGATGCTGATTTAATAATTCTTGGTTTATGTACTCACGAGCCTCATTTTTCATTACTAAGAGAAAAAGTAACTTTTGGCAAAAGAATGGACATGATAACACCAGAAGAATCTGATTTTGATTTATTACACTTATCATTATTGAGGCAATATTTAGAATATGAGTTTGCACCAATCAAATCAAAATTAACATTTTCATTTGATTTGGAAAAAATTATAGATGATTATGTATTGATTGGATTTTTAGTAGGAAATGACTTTATTCCTCAATTACCAAATTTAAATATTGTTGATGGAGCGCTACCACTTCTCTATCAAGTATACAGGAAAGTTTTACCTACTTTAGATGGTATGTTATCTACTTTTCTGTTATCCAATACATTTATTAGCTTGGTCTCATTTTCTTTAATTTTCAGGGTATATCAATGAATGCGGCGAGTTAAATGTAAAACGTTTAAAAATTTATATTTCTATGCTTTCTGAATCTTACACCAATTTATCCAAGCCTTGTAAAATACCAGAGTTTCTCGCCAATGAACTTGAATCTGAAAATAATAATTTCAACAGTGCCTCTCAAACAGTAGAAAAAGATGTTAGTAATGCAATAAAATCTGCAGAGGGTGAAGATCTTGAAAATAGGAAAATACCAAGTAAAGCAGAACCTAGATCTGAAGATAATAATTCCAATGATGACAGTCAAATAAAGGTGAATGATATTAGTAATACTATGAAACTTGTAGCGGATGATGATATTAAAAGTAGAAGAATATTAATTGAGAATGCCTTCAAAGAGCTCGACCTGGATTATAATTTTAGTGAAGTAGAGCACTTGGAAAAAAATGAAGAAATATCAATAATGACGAAAAATATATCCAACAAAAAAGAAGAAAATGTATTGTTTGAAAACCCTATTTTTAATCTTTGTATGGAAGAGTACTACAAAGAAAAATTTAAAATTCATCAAGTTGATAAGTAAACTCTAGGATTTTATTTTATTTGACTATATAATAAGATAGTAATATTAAAGTCTTTCTTTATTTTTTCTAGAACAGAGATATTGGTTCTTGTACAACAGTATGTAAAAGCAATACAATGGACCCTTAAATACTATTATCAAGGTTGTTGTAGTTGGTCGTGGTATTATCCTTACCATTATGCTCCACTTACTACCGACTTTCATTTATTACAAAGTGTCACGTTTGATTTCATTATGGATACTCCATTTCTTCCTCTGCAACATTTACTAGCAGTTTTGCCTCCAGCAAATGTTCATTTATTACCAAAACCATTGCAGTTCCTTTTAATAAATGAGAAATCTCCAATAATCGACTTTTATCCTAAAGATTTTGAAATTGATTTAAATGGCAAAACTAATGATTGGGAATCAATTGTGCTAATACCTTTCATTGATGAAAACAGATTAAAGAAAGGTAGGTTTATTGATAAGTAATTGATATAATTCATTGAATAATCAAATATTTACGTGTAACATTTGCTCAATATTTTTATCAGCAATGGAGCCTTATATGAAAAATTTGAGTTTTAAGGAACAAAAGCGAAATTTTAGTGGTCAAACATATACTTTTACTTACGTAAAAAATAGTTTAGGGCAATATCCTGTAGAAACAATTTTTGGTTCGTTTGAAAATCATGCTCATATATTGCTAAAGAATACGTATCTATCAAAGGACAAGTTAATTTCAGGATTATGCTCTGAAGTTTCTTTCGATCTGAGTTTTCCGGGTTTCCCAACATTAAAACATATTCCTCATTCAGTTACACTTTCACAGGAACAAGTATGTATATTTTTGTCTAATTAAATGCCAATCTTTTTATTGAGAATTTGATTTTTTTATAGTTTAGCTTTATATTTTTTTCAGTCAAAATTCAACACTCATAAACCAATTAAAATTGAACGCATGATTTTACGCGTATTGCCTAAAAAGGAACCTGCCCTTGAAGATTTGGCCAAAGAATTTTTAGGACAGAATGTTTATGTATGCTGGCCCTATATAAAGGAAGCTCATATTATTGGTGTTACAGATTTCAAAAGAAAAATTATGTTGATAAATTTTTGGAAAGAATACACCGAAGATAATGTAAAAAATGATGAACTGGTACAATCTGCTGTAACACAGTTACATCAAGAAACAAAATTAATAACTGATGGGTAAGTGGTGACCACTTTATTTTTTAAATATTTATAATAGTTGTATTTACTAAAACATGCATGTTATTTTTCTGCTGCACAGGTATAAGAATCTTTTTGGAATTGAAATTGGAAAAACGAATATTTTATTTTATCTGTTTCCTTTAATGGGTAAAAAATATACATATATGAATAACGGCAAAATACAGTTACAAACAAAATGGAGTCAATTATCAAAATTGTTTCCTAGCCATCTCATAGTAAAAGAGAAGATAAAAAGACATAATTTCACTTTGTATAAATCTGTTGATGATCTTTTCTTTAATGGATCTGCATGTTTTATGATAAGCCAACCAAATTATGGAGCAAAAGGAGAAGTAAATTTTCATTCGATTTTTATAAACTATTTTTAAATTATTTGTAAATAAATTAATTTGAATTTTAAATCAATTTTTTAAATAAAACTAATATGACTTCCAAATTTCAGATAAAAGGTATAGGAAGTCAACATCTTGTTCACATTGTGCTAGAATCGTCTTCACAACCAAATTTTTCATCGTGTAATGGAAAATTCTTTGTTGCTAATAATACTTACGTGACTTGTAATGAAGTTTCTAAAAAACTGAAAATAAATTCTATTTTGATAAGTAGAATTACTGGATCTTTAATAGTAACAGAGGTTCATGATAATTCAAAATATCATGATATCGGTCTTCGTATAAAATATCCAAAGCATAATAAAGAGGTACACTATATTTACAAACATAAGTTAGCTTTTTTATTATTATTGAAAGTATAACAAAAAATTTCATTTCAGTTATTTAATTACACAAAGAAGGATAATAATGGGTGGTTATACAGCGATAAAGCTATAAAGTTGATTGAAAGTTACATAAATACATTCCCTTATATTTTTGAAAATTTAAATAAAAATATGAAATTAATTTCATTCACAGTGTCGGACTTATTTCCAAATGGGTATGCGAGTATTAATTCTTTTAATTTTATTAAATTTTGTATGATAACTATTACGAAAAAGTTGAAAACTGGAGATAATTTTGAAAGGATATTCGATGTTTCAGTTTGACGCAATTGCATTCTTTAAAAGTATGGCTATCTGAACAGAAAATTCATTACACAACATTTTTAGAATGTCATACAAAAACGCTTGGGCTAAATGGAGTCCCTGAATTAGAAAAGCACATTGCAGATTTTTATTCAAAAGAAGATAAACACGTGGTGTCAATGCAAGTGAAAGCTCAATCTTTGTTTGTTCCTGGAACAATTACGGGTTTAGTACCTCCCGATTTCAAAGCTGAACATAAGTTGCTCGACAGAATTATCTGTGTAAAAAATAACTTCACAGTTCCTTTTGGCTTAAGAGGTACCATAATAGGTATACAAGAGAAACCCGAGAAATGCAAATTTGTGTATGAAGTTTTATTTGATTCGCCCTTTACAGGTATTACATTTATTAAGAAGTTTCGTCGTAAATATAATATTAGAAACGTCTAAATATTTAATTATATTTTCAGGTGGTTTAACATTGTATGAAAGTTCTGAGCATAAATGTTACAGACTCATGGTGACAGATTTTATTAATATCAGTTTTGGCCTACGTAATTCACAAAATCAAATAAGTTCTAATAATCCAAAAAAAAAAATTATAAATAATACAAAAATCAACAAAGACAATTACAATAAATTCAAGAAAAATCCAAAAAAAGAAAATAAAAGTAGCACTGTGGTCAAGACGGACAATAAATCAAATAATTCAGAACAAGTACCTCGGAAAAATTTTCAAAGAAAAAATCATAATAGTTTCAAGAAAACTGATAATACAAAAACAAGCAAAGAATCTGAAGATTGCCATAGTTATAAACTAAGTGATTCTAACAGTCATATTAAAACAAAAAATTCTCGCCCCGACGCAGAAACTCACCTCAAATCTTGCAATAATAATAAATCAAAGATCTCTGGCAATAAAATTGAAACAGGCAATTCTCAACCCAGTAATGCAGGTACTCGACCCAAGGTTCCTTTCCATCAGAAGAATAGAAACAAATTTCAAGGCAAAAAAGTGCAAAAAACGTGTAATATAAATATACCAACGAAAGATACAGAATCCAAAATAACTAAAACTGAACAAGGTAAATTAACCAACAATTTAAGTAATCTAGATGCCGATCAAAAGTCAATTAATTCAAATGAAAATTAGAAGCAGTAAATAAGAGATATCGGAAATTTATATATTTTTATAAAATTCAAATTTACATAATTTTAATTCCTTTAAAGTTTAATGTATACTATATATTGATACTATATTGTGCGAAAAGAAATATTAAAATTTTTTAATAATTATTAGATATCATGAGGTAATTTACTATTTTCATTGATTTTTAACCTCGACAATTACTTTTTATAAAAAACTATCAATATTTATATATAATTATTGCTTTGTAAAATTTTATATTAATGTTTTTGTAGATTGTTCGTATATAATATTCATGTCGTATTAAAATTTTATAATTTCATATTGAAATAATACCTATGAAACATTTATTATTTGTATTTGTTAAGTCGTTGCACCGTAATAAAATAAAATGTATAAAATAAAAAAAGTAAATAAAAAAATACAAACTTCAAATAATGTATTTGAATATTGTTGTACAGGCCAATGTTTTAATCTATACATGACAATCCTCCTACGTCGTCGAGTATTTTTCCGACAATTGATAAGATGAGTCTTCAGCAGTCGCGTCAATTCATTACAGTTAAATAGCTTTTCACGAACAGTATATGTCGTGCACAGTAGTTTTTTAACGAACGGCAGTTCTCAGTTCAGTTTGACAATTTTTTGGTCTACCGATAGCAAGACGTAAATTTAGAACGATGCGCGTGTGTGTAGTCGGCGCTGGTATTATCGGAATCACTTCAGCGATCGCGGTGAAAGAAGCATTTCCATCTGCAGAGGTAACCGTCTTTGGAGAAACTTTTTCGCCAAATACAACGGGAGATGGAAGTGCCGGACTTTGGGGGCCTTATATTCTTACCAATACAAATCCCACGAAGGTTTTGTAAGTATGAATGTCTTTTTCATTGCGGCATAGAAGGTATATGATCTTATCAATAATTTTTCCTGGCTTACAACGATATATTTCTAAGAAGATATACGTTGTAAAGACGTGCTTACTATTAATTACGGGAAATATTTTTAAAATTACAAATGCATCTGCTAATGCACTTAGACAAAGAAACTTATATTGACTCCACGTTATCTATTACGTTACCTAGTTTGTTATCTAATCTACCAAGTCAAACGTAAAAATTTGTACAAATCGTGCATGATACAATTTTTTAGTAAGTATATTTAATACATTCGAATAAAAAGCTTTTGTTGTGTCGCAAACAAAACTGATTTGCAGACGCTGGGCCGAGACGACGCATAAATGGATGGAAAGTTTTTGGAAAAGCGAAATAGCACCTGATGTAGGCGCGTCCTTACTACCGGCATATCGAGTCACTTCTGAAACAGACGATTATTCAGATCCAGTGTGGGCTCCATGTGTTTACGGATTTACTCAATTGAGTAGTTCTCAATTAGACAAGTTGAACGCACGCCGAAAAAATAAGCCCAAATACCGGTAAATGTAATTGTAATTTTACATAAAGCTTTGACGTCCTGTTATTAAAATAGTTTAACGTGTCGGCTGTCTTACTGGAGGAGTAATTTATTCTTCGTGGCTTTGCGACGATACGTTACTATCTCTGTATAAGCAGAAAGATTGTAAAGAGATTGATAAAATGAATAATAGTTCATTGAATCAGAACGAGGAAAAATAAATACACATATAGACATACGTTATAAAGATATGATTAATGTTTGGATGCTACTGATATAAGTAGCAATTTTTTAATGCAAAATTGTTTTAAAAAAAAAACAAAATTTCAGCGCTGGTTGGCATTTCGTAACGTATACCTTTGAACCAATTAAGGGTTTACCCTGGTTGATGGAAAAGTTCAAACGATTAAACGGCAAAATTATCAAAAGAAAGATCACAGATTTGAAAGAATTAAGAAAAGAAGGATTTGATATTGTGATCAACTGTGCTGGTTTGGGATGTCGAGAAATTAATAATGATCATACAGTCAATCCAGTGAGGGGCCAAGTCACTCGGGTATTCTGAAATTAAAATGAAAAATTGGTTTTCTTTTGGAATTAAACGAAATAACAAAAATTTCTAGATAAGAGCTCCATGGCAATTTGAAACTTTTATAGAGGAAGATGACGATGGAAATTACGTAATACCAAAGTAAAGTATATTCATTGTCTTCTATAAATTATCAACAAATATGACTGTGTAACAAATAGATTAAGTATTGGAAAAAAGCATGTATTATGATAAGTTTGAATGACATAACTATAACAGTAATTTTTTTTCAAAGTATCGACACGGTTATTATGGGTGGAACGCATCAAGAAGGTGATTTTAATCTAACGGTCAATCCTGCTGATTCAAAGTTTATCAAAGAAGGCTGTGAACGATTGTATCCATCACTCCAAGTAATATTTTTTCTGCAATGCAATGAACAATTAAATTTAAATTCATAACAAGCAACTGATTTCAGAAAGGAAAAATGATCAATGAGTGGGTTGGTTTGCGGCCTGCAAGGCAAGAAGTTCGGTTAGAACCGGAAATTATACGTGAACCTGGTAAAGAAGACTTTATGGTAATTTATTTAATTTTTATGACATTAAAAAAAATTATGAAAAGTAAAACCGCATTAATTTGATTTTCCTTTTTAAAATTGTAGATCGTTCATAATTATGGACATGGTGGAAGTGGTATAACTTTATGTTGGGGTTGTGCCTTAAATGTTGTTGAAATATTACGTCAATTACAGAAAGCTAATAAACCTTCAAAGTTGTAAATATAACGTAAGAAAGTTTTACTATTGCTATAATTAGCGAATATATGTAAAAACTAACTTTTCTCTTCTATCCTTCTACAGTGATATTCAGGATACGTGGATGTTTTTATTGTATCGAAACTAAGGAATACTAAGTATTTTGATATTGGTGTAACTTTGTGTAACGGAAAAATTAAATAAAATTATTTGCAATCGAATACGTTAACAATTGTATTTATTTCATAAAAACTTATAAAATATTATACTTCATATAACAATAAGATTTTGTAAGTATACATACGACAAAATGCTAGAATTAAAATGCCCTAAATCTGCTAATTCTAGTTCTAATAAAATACTGTAAATTATTTATTTCCTTTTCTGTGAACTTATCTACAATCTAGAACGACGAGAATCCATGTATCACATATATTATTTTAATATATTATTCGAGAATAAAGTTAGTATTGCAGTATAGTTATTTACAGTTGGATTTTTTTTCATTACAATAGAAAAATACGTATATATTTGAGTAATAAAATTTTAATAAGTTATTAAGAATTTGGTACAGAAATGATTGAGAATGCATTATTAATTAAGATTAATATTGTTCCAGAATTCGTGTACAATAAAATCTTTTGTAATATTTAACAAATTGTCACTTGGTTACTGGAGAGTTGTGTTGCTAACCTTTTGGAGACTTGTGATGTAAGTCTAGGTATTTTTTTGATACGAGTTGTGTGATCAATTTGAATATAAAAAAAAATTAAAAACACCATATAGTATCGCTTACAAAATAGCAACGTCTGAACACGACCTAAATATCTCTTGTGGTCCACAACCAAGTTGACCCGTGCCGTTGCCGCAATATCCCCAATTGTTACCACACCTGTAATGCCACCTAAGTACGCAGTGCTCGCAAGTGACATCATCGGGCAGCACTGCTTTGATATTGTAAAAGCTAGGTGGATCTGCCTTTATTGGATATTCTCGTTCACCATTAGCCAGATATATTGGATGGGCATCGAAACATTCTTCATTCTCAATGTCCATCGTGTAATTTAGCGGGCATAATGAGAATTCAAAATGGCCCATGTGGTTAGCAGTTATTTCAACTTGTAGATCGATTTCTTGTCCTACTTTGTACCTTTCAAAAATCGTTTTAGTTATATTTCTGTGTACAGTAGTCAGAGGTGATCAACTTTGTATTACATGAAAGATCAACTTGATTTTTCTTTGACTTTAAAATTCCAATACTTACTTTCTAACGATTAACCCAGTTCCATATTTTCCACCATTTTCATTATTTCTTGGCCGAGGATCAGCGTAATTGTCACCACAGGGTCCACACTTTCCATCATTGGCGTTGTATTGTATCTAATATAGGCGTTTTAATGTTTTAATCATGAACTATTAAGGAACTCTTACGTTAATCAGCACATCGCACAACAGTAATACTCACTGAAAACCCTCCACAGTAATTTTGATTGTCATTGTAATCTATAGGAGTATTATAGTTCTTTCTCCATGCACTTCCTCTATTAACTGGTTCCATTAATCTTCCATGGCCATCAATTTCATTGAACCACGAGGAAGCAATGAACAACGCGATCGCAATTAGTTTGAATACCATTTCAAATGTACAACTATACTTCAGAGTAAAAAAAACTCCAATAACGATATCATGCGACGCACGAGAAAATTAACTGAACAACAATACAAATATAGGAGAGGTAAACGCCTTATATAGCAGATCTAGATTAATGGACTGTTAATGTTTTTGAGCTTGCGATATTTTGCAATAGTCTTATCAACTGTCAGATTGAACTGATTACTTAAAACTCTACAATAGATATAGAAGATTACGATTCTTGTGGAAAACCTGATGAGTCTTTTTTTAGTAGGTCAAGTGTATCCTTGCTTTTGATGAGATATTTTCTATTAAACAACATGACTTAATCATTTGTAAATAATCTATATTTCGTTGATTTTTATCAAGCTAGGCAGCAGCAGGAATATCCAAAGATCCCAGCAACAAATTTGAGTGGAAAACATTGGTCATATGATAATAAGATAATCATCGTTAAGGTAATTGCTATATCAATGATTTAAATTTTCATTTCTTATTACGTCGATTGAAAAGTCCGAAAATTATTTTTCATTGAATTAACTAATATTTTATATCACATTATATATTTATATTTGATGGGAAAAACAATCTTCATTTAATTACAATCAAACGTTGTTTATTTGATAGATTATCTATTATGCATGGAAGTCCGTTTGTTAGCAAGCTGTTGATTATTTGATGAAGCAGTCTCCTGATTATATTTTTGTAAAATCTCTACATAATCTTTGAGTCATTTCTGATTATAAAGATGATAATTCATTTATATTTCAAAGTTATACATTTTTTTAATATTGAGTGTTTTTATAAAAAATTACTTTTGTAAGTTATTTTCATTTGGAGTAGGTTCAATAAAGTCATCAAATTCTAAAATAATATATTTATTTATTTGACGTTTCAAATAATTACAAAGAAATTTTTATTTTGTAATTAAAATGTGGATACTTATGTGAAAGTGTACGTAAAAATTATATTTACGACATTCTTTGAATAAAGGAAAAATGCAAGACAAACATATATTCATTTACAAAAATATATGTAACTTCGTAGCTAATTTAAAATTGCAAATAGTATTTATCTTACGTGTAACGTGCACCTTTTTTCATTACTAAATTTTTTCTAATTTTATCAGATAAACATTTCTTATGACGTAGTTACCAATCATACAATACACGAAATCACTTGTAACGTAACTATTGCATTAAGAAATGTGGTGTTTCGTTTATCTTGGTTTCAAAATATAATATACTTTTGTATGATATTCAGAGCTTTCAAGGAAACACGTTGCAACAATAGGTTCCAAATTCCGTACATATTCTAGAAGACTTTTTTCCCGAAAAATTATGTGTTTTTTCATAAAATTAGTAATAATTTTTATTTTTAAGAACATTTGTAAAATACGCCAAATCTGCTGCTTAAAAAAATATTGTTTATTATAAAACGATTTCATACTCGTCCTACTACTATAACTTTTCTATAATAAATATAATATTTATAATCTCAAAGATTTGTTTTAGCTGTTATTTTCAGAATAATTTACATTTGGAATTTGTAATTTGTTTAATAATAGTTAGGGCTTGTTGAATTTTCAGTTTGAGAAGGGGATGAGTAAAGTAAATGTAAATTCTTTGTAAAAGCGTCGCTGTTAATGCGAATATAGGCAATAGCAATGATCGTAAAAGTAAAGCAGAATAAAAGAAAAGAAATACGATCGATTGCGGTTACTAGAAGTATTAACTCTAATCGTTTCACATTCCTGGATTGAGAAATTATGCATTCTTGATCGTCGTCCTCCATATTGCTTGTCGACAAGTTCCTAGACGGAAAACTTGTCGGTTCAGTTTCAGGAACTTCTTGAAGCTCTGCAAATTTTTGGGATTCGATCTAAAAAATGCAATAGAGTTCTTACGTTAATTGGGTACTTAATTAAGTGCTTCTTCAAAATATAAGTTACTTATACTACTACAATAGAAATTAAAATTTGTTATGTACTTTAAGCGATAATCGTTACATGGAATATAGATTATCGATAAATCAACTAAGTAATCAATTGTTATTGTTTAATAATCATTAATCAAAAGATCTTTTGATTAATGATTATCAGGTGCATTTACCTCTCGAATAATACCATTCAATCCTAAAATTCTTCTAAGTTTTCCGTAAAGTAAATTTCTTATTGTACGAGGAATTGATATGTTATATGCATTCACTGATATGTGAATAATAAAGCAGGATATTACTGTGGATAGAGTTATTTGACAAAGGCACCCGCTGAAAAATCTTACTATGATCAAAAACATATTGAAATAAATATATATTGAGTTACGAAAATAGATAATAAGTTTATTAAGGTATTAAATCTATTGAAAATTTAAATAAATTCGACACATGTATCGCGTAGTGCTATATAATTCGTCTATGTATCAACTTACCTATTAATGGTAAGTTATTTACTCTAGCTGGTACTTTTTGCCCCAAATAAAGTAAGATCAATATATCCGTAATAATTGCGCAGATGTTGATAATCAACTTCATTTCACTTTCCGGATTCAACCAAAAAGTTATTAAAACTAAAAAAACGATAGCTAAAAAATGTAAAATAATTAAATAATTTTCGATTTTTAATGTCAAATAATATAACGAAACAGCGTTCATCAAACTTACGTATGGATACAACAAAAATTACATGATAGTACAATTCTGAGCTTCTCGTTAGTTTAATTTTATATTCGAGCATATAATAAGGCTCCGGACAACAAGAATACATTTTTATTTGTCGATGAGCTGAAACGTTTTGTACTCGCCATTCTCCTGCAGAATAATATTGTAACTGAAATAAATATTGAATACTTATTTATTTAATACTTTATCAAATGACCTTGCCTGCCTAACTATATAGTGTCAAAACATTATCAGTTTTTTTCTATGAGACTTATTTGAAAAATTTAACTAATAAAAATCTTTTGTAATTCTACAGCTTAAATGTAATAAATAGTTTGAAAAATATTATGAGAAAGACGTTTAAGATTATAGACTATATTAATTTCATTTTGAGCAAACATTTCTTCAGAATTAAGCTTTCTTTAACATATTAAATTTAAGAAATATTGCTCGGTATGCATACGAAGGTAATTACTAGGATGACATTAAGTACATTATTTAAATACATACGTCAAATCCTTTGTCTTGCAACTTAATATTAATTTCATCTCCATTGTGATTCCAAGAACCTATGGTCAATTCACAGGTATTCGTTTCGAAAGGCCACAATACTAAGTTAAAATCACAGAAGCTGTGAAAAACTGTTGGTGCTATCCAAGTCACCTCTCCATCTTGTCGAACAATGCAATGTCTGCTTTCATAATTTTCTATTCCATGTAGCGCACTAATGAAAATAAAATATTTACCAAGGTATTAATCGGATTCACAATTGATATTTAAGTTAAGATAGGATTAAGAAAGTTATGGCAAAATAGCTAAAAGAGTTTTCTATTAAAAGTAAAATGATTAGTTATCAATGTTTAAAAAAACTTCAGCCAAACAAGGCCTTTGATCATAAATAAGCTTTTTAGAAACGGATATAACAGATTAGCGTTAATAGGTGTAATGGTGATAGATTATAAATTCACAATGTTGATTCTGGATGCAGATAAAATACGCGATAAACGGAATAATTTGATTCAATAAGGAATTAAGAAATTAATACCTGTTGTAGAGATATAAGTCAGGTTGCCATACTTCATGAATACCCACGGACATTTCTTCAATCCCTGCGTAATCCTTAGAATTCCACTTTAATTTGTCATCGTTCCAGGTCTGAAAATCATTTCACATTTTGCTGGACGTAAATTCAAAAGTTTTTGTTGTTCTGAAAATGAAGAAAATTTTAAAACTTTACCATGCGCACCCACGTATTGACGCTTAGAATGTTCTTTCTACTATCCTAAATAAAATCATAATATGTGTCAATTAATCGTTATGAATAACGTTAATTGTTCCTATTTAACATGTGATGTACTTGCCACTTCCACGTGCATTATATTTAAATAAACAAATACTGTTGTTGTGTTGTAGTGTTGAGTTGGCCTTGAAAATTTATCGTATTTTGCAAGAAGATTTTGTCTCAAACGATCAACCCATGTTTCATTCCATTGTGGAAATTCTGTAAACATCATTTATAATAAAAATATATGAATAATTATTATAAATGAATCAAGGTCAATTTTTTAAAATCTATTCAGAATATTTTTCATATTTATCATATTTCTCGGTAATCAATTTAAAATAAGAAAATTGTTGATGATTCAAAATTATAGAGTAAAAATTCTCAATTATATATTATAAGATTTGAAAGATATCTAACTTTATTTTCAAGTAAGCTAGTTTTATAAGAATTAATTTAATTATATATGACCTAATTATGTAATAGCTATTTCATGTCATAGAATTCTTTTCCAATCTTTATCTAACCTATGCCATCTAAACTAAAATTATGAGTCTTACTAGCTAGGAGCAAACTATATCAGATGCCTTGAATCTGATAACTGGCCCGAATGAATAGGGTCATAAAGTGGATGAATAGTATTAGTAAGTAAGTGCGTTTAACTAAAACTGAAGTAATATTGATAGATCAAAGTCGGATTGATATAAATTGATAAACGAATTGCAACAATCAATGGAAATGAAGAACGAAGAGGAAGAAATATATTTGAAATGATAACAAAAGAAAAACACAACGATTTGCTTACATAGTCAATGTGAATATTTAAAAGGTTAGTTTTTTCAATCAAATTGAAAGTTTATATATAGATCATTTTCGTTTATTCAAATTAACAATGTATTTTAAGAAGTATTGAATTATTTTCTCGATTACAGTTTATAGGAATCCAAAATTTAGCCCGGAACGTTTAATATAAACTACATTTTTTTCACAGATCAAATTAATAAAAGAAATAAAAGCATATAAAGTTAAATTGTACTTACTTAAATTTTTTTTCTGTATTGCATGTGCGGATAAAATCGATGTAAAAACAATGAAACATACTACGCGTAAGTTCATCGTGAATACGAATACTCCATAAGCTCCACTGAATGCTACTAACGGACACAAGCAATTCTCCACTTCTCTTTGACATGCTTGACTTACACTTCAATCATTTTAGTACTTTATAGTGCATCCGATGGAAATACCATACAATACTTCACTATACTAAAAATTATTTCATACACATATGCATATATAATTATAAAAGTATCCACGACGTTATAATGTAGCATTGATATTTATTACTTATGGAGGCGGTATTAATGTTAATATTTAAATCGAAAATTTAGCTGACACAGCAGACGCTAATTTCAAATGGAAAAATCAAGGGAAAAACTACAATACAATATGAACGAGATTGAAAAAGGTTATTCTTATTTGTGTCTCTGAGTATTACTATGTTAGAATATACATAATTTTGAAATTAATACATTTTGAAATTCCGCGGGAAGGATAGAAATACAAAAAATTAAAAATTATAGATAAAATTTCTTGTGTATTTTTTTGTAAATTGTGTAATTTGATGTAAATTGTGTTATCTTATGTAACTTATGTTTATAATTAGTGATTATCATTAGTATATATTTTCCATTTTTTATTTTTCAATTAAAGACAATAACGAAAAATTCAGATATTAATCAATACATGTTTATTTAAATTATGTTTTAGAAGTCAATATTATAGTGGATCAAATACTTTAATAAAAAGATTGATCACAAAATTATTATCATTTTGATAGGTTTCTTAGTAGAACGCAAATTATCACGAGAAGATATTATAGAAAGATATGAATGGATTAAAACTAAAAGATCGAAAGTAAATTCAATTAACGAAGATCGAAATTACCTTACCCGAAAAGTATACTTTCCTGATACATTTAATGGTTTATATTGTGCGAGATACTCATCAGATGGCGAAACTGTTGTTACAGGCTATGGATCTGGCTGTATTCAGGTAGGTTCCTATTTGTCAACGTCGTTTGCCACGAAATTATATAAATATTGGCAATGAAATAAATTTCTAGCTAAGAAATGGAGATACAGGCGAATTGAGGAATAGTCTGAAAGCTGCTTTAGAAACATCGTTTCCTGTGACAAGTTGTTGTTTTCATCCTATCAACAGGAATATCATATATGCTTCCAGCGCATGCGGAAGCATATTTTTATGCAAAATGAATACTGTCGAATTTTATAATTTTAGTACAGGTGAAAAACAATTTTTTAAATTACAACAAGATTTTGCCAATAAAAGTTTATTATTATTCAAATGTTTATTTCGTAGAGTTAGACAATGAAATCAACGCTGTGGATGTCAATATTTCCGGAGAATACGTGATTACAGGTGGTAAAGATGCAGGGTTACGAGTCTATGATTCAGAAACAGGAAAGGTCACTGTCACTGTTATTAATTAGTTTAATATCAATTTCCGATGATTCCGTTATGGTTTTTCAGTTGATCAAAAACTATACCAAGGATAAAATAAATTTAATAGCCGAAGATGCAACAAAATTTCATCACATGAGAATATTTGCAGTGAAATGCCATCGAATAGATTCAAATATTGTCGTGACCGGTGGTTGGGATGCTATTGTAAAAGTAACTAACATGATGCTACGCATGCAATAATACTGGAACATTTTACATTACTAGTTTGTTTATTTTTTATCCCGTTCATCATTGATGTCATATTTCTTCGTTCGAAATTTCGCGCTTTACTTTAAGCTGCATTGTGCTGACATCTTGTGCGTGAATACTTTGAATATCCTAGCGCCTATCTGCTGATAAGTGATCTAATAGAATTATTTTCTGTTATCAATTATATAGGTTTGGGATTTAAGAGTTGGTGGCGGATCGATAAAAGCTATTAATGGTCCATATATTTGTGGAAATGCTATTGATTTACGAGTAAGATATCTACTTTATTTAAAAATATTTCTTACATTCAAATAAAGTCCTCTTATTTTCCCCTCATTCTTTTTTTCTCACATAAAAATGTGATGGATGCCATGTTAAAGCATTTTATTCGTGATCTAATTGGCTGAGATATGATCACGTGATATATTGCTATGTGGTGGCAAATAAGCGTGTATGTATGGTTTCGAGTTGAGATATTAATGGTCAAAATTACATTTATCATAATTGAAATGAGTCATTTTGAAGATAATGAAAATAAAGAAAAATAGACTACAGTCATATTGTTTTAACATTCAATTTGTGAAACTAGCAGCAAGTAAATCATTTGGTAAAAGCAAGAGCTAACGCTTTGGAATTATTTTGATTATTTTCTATTACAAATCAATAATCTGATATTGTATTTTTAAGATTGAAATAAAAGTTGTTAAATTTCACAATCTTTATTCAAAGAGTAGGATAAACGTTTAATAGTAATTTTATTCATATAATTAAAAAGAACTAAAGATTATTTGTAGCAGTTTTCGATATGCTAAATCATGACTTTAGAATACACGGAACCGTTTTACTAATACACATTTTTCTGTAATATGTGTTTTGTAAAAAAATTGAAAAATTTTATTTTGAAAAAAGTTATTAGTTAAATATTTTAATCGATATGTCAAGAAATGAAAACTAAAATGAAAACGCGCGAAGCACGTCTAATGTCCCTAGTAAATTAAACTTTTATAGCAATTTTATACGCTTGCTAAACTTATCTTATTTTAAGTACTCAAAATGACTCATTATTGTTTCATAGATATACTTAAAATCAACGTGATTAATTAAAAGTGTGAATATTCAAGATAGCGAAGAGAAAGAAAATCGTAATATAAATCTTTAAATTCTAAAGTTTTACTAATAATTATGGGAAAACTCGTAATTCGGTATTTGCATGAAAAGATTCGATTTTCATTGTCCTTCGGTAATTCAGGATTACCTTCTTTGTTCTTTACAATTTTATAAAAATGAATATCTGTATTATTCTATATTATTAGGATATAGAATAATTCTTCTACGCGCATAACATAGTTTTCACGTTGAAATTCCTAAGTTTAATTTATTTTATGTTTGTTTTTTTTTTTTTATTTATTTAAGAAAATTGAACCCTATTGGGTTATTTTGCTATTTTATGTATTTAAAGAATGCATAGTTTTTAATTTAAAAATTGAAACAATCTGAGACAATAATAATAATCTAAATTCAGTCGTTAGAACAAAAATTTTAAATTCTTCCAGAGTTCTGTTGAATCTATAGATTTAGATTAAAAAATATTATTGGAGGCATTTTTTATGTAAATATACTTAATAACGATATTTAATATTGTTAAAATCATATTAAATTATTATTAGAATCGATATGCAACTATATCGATAATTGTTGTTATTGTGAGAAATAAAACTGATTTTAGTACTCTCATCTCAAAAGTTTAATCGTAATTTCTTTTCTATTACTGCAGAAAATGTTTTCTATTTGTTAATTATTTGTATATTCATTACTTAGGATACAAATATACTCACTGGTTCGTGGGTTGTAAAAAATAGTCTTCAAATTTGGGACATATCTAGTGGAAAACTTATTGAAACAGTAAATCCAATCAATCGAGAAACAACGCTCGATGGGGAATATTTGTATGTGGCTCAATATTTTGACGGGGATCCTTATGGCGAGCACGTAGTTGTTGGTGGTTCGGGCATCGGTTTTGTTGAGGTCATCAATTTGAAAGAAAAAAACGTGAGTTTAATTAATATATGTTTTTGAGTTAGTCTAAACAACTGTTCTTCTAGGTTGTAGCACGTTTCAAAGTGAATAAAGCAGTACTGACAATTGACAGTTACAAAACCAATATCGTTTATGGTGGAATGGATTCAACAATCAATCTGACAGAATATTTTTGATTCCCAGAACAAGATTGTTTATCTTTAAAGTAACTCTAAATTATTAATCTAAATTATTATTTAAAGTAAATCTAAATTATACGTAGTAACGATTTTTCGCTTAACTTCAAAGTACTATATTTATTGGTTTTTAATAATTCGCAAGAGTTGCGTACTAAATGTCAAAAAATTGGACATATTTTGCTTAAAAACCTAAATTGCAGATTATTCCAAAAAGAAGTATATGCATTTTTTTAGTAATAATTTGAGCTTATAAATAAAATGATATAATTAAACGCAACGTACAAGAATTGATTATAATTTTTAAAACCACAATAAAATCATTTAGCTCTCATTGTGTTTTCAACGTAAACTTGTTACAAATAATATTAAAATATATGAATGATAGTTCATATTTTTATGTTTTATTTATGTATGAACCTGGCGCTTAATTTAGCTCTTGATTAAGGCCACGATAGATATCGTCGTTCTGTTTTGCAAATTTCACTAGCCAAAATTATCGATGATTCTCAAATGAAATGTAGGTTCATTTGACTCATTTCCATCAAGTGAGACATTAATTAATCTTGTTCTAAATTCCTATTTCCTTTAGAATATATAGAAATTCAAAAAATGTACTTATATTATATTAGTTTTCATTCACACCACATTATTTTTACAAAGATCTATATTTGTAAAATGAAGTTTTAAATCAACTGAAAATAAATTATAACGACAATTTTGCGATGAAAATGTATTATATCGATGTTAACTACTTTCCTACAAGTGAAAGTTTCAACTAAATTTTTTAAATTAATGAATGCAATGGTTCAATTAGAAAAATAATGAAATAATAATTGAAAATATTTATCTAATAAATGCGAGGCTACGCACAAGGTGAGCGCGTTTTCTTTTTTTCAATAGAATTATTTATGGTCGAGGGCCTACGAAGATCAAGAAATAGCAATTAAAGATCAAAGGCTCTAAATAAGTAACGTAATCGCGAGTAATAGCGCAGTCTCATTGGCTTTACGTCAACGATAAAAAGCTCACTAGCGGAACAGAAAAAGTCGGAAGACAAACATCGAGGAAGCGAGGTTCGTAAAGGTGCAGAAGACATACACTGCGTTATATAGGGTGGGTAGGCCTGTGAGCTTGCGAGTGAGAGAGAGAGAGAGTGTGTGGAGTAAGTAGTCGAACGTCGAGTGATGCCAAAGCCTAAATATAAATGCCGCTTTAGCGTCGGGACGGCTGGCGTCGCTTTCTCAGCAGCTGGACCGAACTCGATGATCCAGTGCTTAGACAGTCTCACCGTGGCAGCTGACTCACTCGCGAGCGAGCTGCGCGAAAGGAAAACCGACGAAGCCGCGCGCGCACGCACGCCACGCGAGATTGCAACCCTCTGACACAAACGGCACCGCGGTAGACTTTTTCTTCTTTGATAACGATCGATAACGAGTGCGTTTTTTTTCCTTTTCCTGATACTGTTTCGTCTCTACGTGTCTTTTTGTTCAGTTCACACTTGGATGATTTATTTGTAAGTGGCCATTGTCATGGTAAATCATCGTACAATATATTTCACTTGCATCGTGTAGTGTAAATGGATGTTAGGAAAGTCACTTGTGTACCCTGAATGTACATTTACATGTTTGATTTTTCATTTATCTGACATCCAATAACCAGTTTGACAAATAGTACTGATTTTCCTTATTCCCAAAATTCTTATATTAATCACTGTAGAAATATCACCTGAGTTACATTACAATAATTTAGTTGCAACTACATTTGGTTCATTACGATAGTTGGTAATATAAAAGACAACTTGAAATTTTAAAAGTGGTAAATTTTCGTAACTGTCGAATCAAATACTCACACGTAGATGATATTAATTACGGCATGAAAATACGTTATTTAAATATTTACGATCAGTGTAAGTTATGGATTGTTCTTACATTCATATGCAGTTTTTATTACGTTTTAAGTGTCTAAATTTGAATATCTTAAACGCGAATTAGATGATACTGATTAAATGAAGATTTAGGTTTAAAAATTTATAAAAATAAAGAATTATTTATAATATTAACGTAATTCGATCGAAATAACTTATTGAAAATAGTTTAAAAAATTTAACGCAATATTTATTGCAAATATTAAAATTATCGATTAATTAGTTTAACCTAAAGTATTTTTATTTATTCGAACATTACAAAGCACAAATATCGCTCTAGTTTTCTTCGAAAATTTGTAAAAAAAAAGTATTTCTTAGATACAAGGTTTTGAACTCATCAACACCATGAAATATAAAAGCTTATATTACAAAAATAACAGAAATCTACTCAATAAAGGACAAGAAATAGAAAATAATTTCGAGTATAATGAACTTGAGCTGGTTGATTTCCGCGTTGAAAAGTATCAGAGAGCGCGCAAGCAAGTACAAACGGAGAAAAGTAATAATTTTTCTGAACGAGCTTTGGTGATTTGGCGACACGTGAGAATCCAGTAGGAGCCTATCCTATTTTTGAGCATCGATCGGTACATTGAGCGTATATACGAGTTTTATTTTCGGCGCGCAGAAGCTCCACGAGAGTCCGGGAATCGGTGAGCCGCTCGCAAATCTTCCACGCGCTCGCGCGTCTGTCATCCGACAGTCGTCTCCCGCCCATGCTCTTTTGCTCTTTTATGTGCTTGCAGGCTATTCCTTGAGTTTATCAATGTAAATGAATCTCATCTTGTACATATATCTGTAATGTTTAGTGTGTACTAAAAAACGGTCGTTTATCTCATAATTTTCAAGGATGATACAACGTTTTTTTTTGGATGGTCACTTGAGATTTCGAAAATACTGCAAAAAATATGACACAATGTTTGATCTTGGAAGTAGTAAAAACGTCTAAAGTGCGATTAATGCTGAATTGTTACGTTCTAAAAAATAAATAGTGAAACTTTATATTTAAAAAGAGTAGCAAAGACTATTGCCACTCGGTTTATTTGAAGTTTAAACAAATTATTTTTTAGTAAATTTATAACATTAAATATCTTTATTTTTCAATCGAAATTCTACCGTCAGCGATTTCAATCTTACGCTTAAAAATATACTTTATAATATGTTGTAAGGGTTTCTTCGTGGTATTAAATAATCGCCACTGCAGAATATTAAACTTCACCGTAGATTTAAATAACCGACTGATGATAGTGTAAGCTTGGAAAATGTCATTGCTGATTTATTTGGACATATTAATATTGAAACTGAAAAAAAATTGCTATTCTTCGTGACCTTCCGAAGTTCAGTGCTCGTTCGAGATCAAGGTTCCAGGCACATTCTTCTTTCGACGCCGAAAGAAGCGCCTCGACGGATACGTAAACAGGGCGAAACCACGATCCGAGTAGTAGCTAAATAATCACGTGTTTCCTCATCGTAATACATGAGATTGTCTAACGGTTAATTTGCAAGTTTATTTTTTCAAAAACGTTAATGGAAAATCTATCAATGGTACATAAATGTATACAGTTCTAAATGTACATTGCACCTGATTCAAGATTTAGGCCAATTACAACAGAAAGTAATTCTTCTTTTTTCTTATCAGTCTATTTTTAATTAATTGCGTTTATTTTAGAGGTATTGCTTAATTTTGCCAACTTTGTTAGAAATAATATATTGGCAAAATATTTATTAAGATTTTGTTAAAAACATAATGGTACAGTGTTCGTTTTTGTATAAACTGTCAATTTTCGATTTAATAAAGACCTATTCTCTTGATTTCGAATCGAAACAATAGAATTTCATGATATTCGTTTTTTACAAATAAAAAGTCGAAGGCTATATTTATGAATCTGACCAAACGCAAACAAGAACGAATCGTTTGAGATATGTAGATCGTAAATTATAAAGATAAGCCGGTATTATTGCATCGAGGAATATCGTAAAGTACAATAATCAAGCGTGTAACAGTGACGCAGTTTGAGACGTTGACATCAGAAGCGATATGCAAGGACAGGTAGAAACGGTAGGTCGCAAACCGCATCCAGTAATAACTAAAATCGTGTCAGTTTCGGAAATACCCCTTCTTAGAGAAAAAGAGAGAGACAGACATTGCAAATATATGCATGTATATATACATGGGGAGGGCGGTGGGGGGGGGGGGGCACCGCGTGTATAGCGCCGCCTGTAAAAATAGATTTGCTTCTATATTTAGTCGGCCTACACTCGGTATCCGGCCAACAGTCTTCAAAGTGCGTCGGACTCTGCGGACTTCTCGAGTACCAGCTCGAAAGCTGTCGATTGCCTATCACACCATTTTATCCTCTCTTTGTTTTCCCTTCACTTTCACTTCTTTTTTCTATTAATATTTATCTCAATAGTCTCAAGTGTATGGTACTTCTATGACTTTCCAATGGCAAACAGCTATTTTTATTCATCATAGAAATCTATCTCTCATCTTTACAGATACCTAAGGCCAATATTTTTAGATTATTGAGATCATCTGAACAAAAAGTCATAGGCTTTTAAAAAAACTTAGTTTCGTGATCTCGACCGAACATATAAACTAATTATTCAGACTTTTACATAGACTCATATGCCCGTTCATGTAAAATTACACACTTTATATGATTTAATATAGTTTACGTGACTATCTCTCGTATTTATCGTAATAATCGCTATGACTGAATCTGTTATACATTCGTGGAATCGTAGCAGAGCGTACAATTTTGCTACGGACCAATTGCGCTGTTTCAAACTGAAGAATTGTATTAAATGTTTCGATTTAGTAATAGTCGTACTCAGTACATCCATTTCCGCAAGTTTCTCAAGACAAGCAATAAAGTAGTACAGAATTACAAGTTGACTAAACCAAAGCCACAGTGACATAACATTACCACGTCGTAGAGCGTGTGTATATAATGGGCCACGCGCTGTTCCGGAGTCAGTTCTAAGTAGACTAAACAGTTCAGTGCCATTCGGTTTTTCTAGAAGAAAAAGTGACACTTTTCTTACAGCGAAGATAATAATTATAGTCACTAAGGCTTTATCGGAAATTTTTATAAATTGTGCTTAACTTTTATTTTCTAAGCTCTTTACTATCCAGAAACAATGATAATGGATTTGATTATACAATTGTTACTTCAGTTTCATAGTCTTTGGCAATGTATGAGAGTAAAATAAGCAAAATATGAATTACCCGAAAATCAAATTGTTCTAATTTCAGATTTTAATAGGTTGATCGATTGATTATTTTCCCTGGCTTAATGTTCCATTAGAAACTGTTGTATATTTGCATAGTACGTTTGATATGTTAGATATACATGGTTACATAGTTTATTTTTTTCTTGTGTACATTGACCTTTTTTCCTGATTTAACTTAAAGCTACACACGTGATATAAAAATGTTAGCTCATGATTAGAAATCCGTTTAAACAAAATATAAAATATTGCGATTATAACTTATCGTAAAGTGTTCAAATAAATTAGTTTCTACGTGTATATTCGTATAAAGCTTTCGCTATGTTATATATTGTTTGCATTTATAAGTTTCAAAATTCATTTTAACAACAAATTTAGATAATTGAATTGAATTATTGGAAAAAATGATAAGCGAATAAGTTTACATGTTTTCAAATATATATCGTGACTCTATGAAATATAAATATAAAGTTATCATTTTCATACATTATTGTAAAAGCTTTAAAAATCAGTGATAATGGTTTTCTTATGGGTCAAGGTAATTGAACTATTTAATAAAAAAGTATAGATTGACGTGCATCATCTTATAAATGTAATGATGCAGGCAAAGGTTGCAATACGCAAAAGTACATTCGTCTCAACAACGGACTATTTCGTCTCCATGAACTCTTGGGGTCAAATAACTTTTGGTTGTGCTGTTCCGTTTTAAAATCGAATTGCCAGATGCATTATCGGGAGGAGTCCATTACAATAGCTCTTTCTGCGTTTTCGCACGTAATTCCAAAGAGACAGAGAGCGTTGTACGTGCTTTATTTCGAGATGTTTCTGGCTGACAGCCATGCGACGCTGTTACCGAGACGCAGATGACGCGACCCAGAGACAACTGACGTACCAGCACGTTACTTTCTGCTGCCATTTTCCATAATTTTTTCGGATTTATTAGTTTATTTTTCGTTTGGATACCATCAACCTGAAATTTATCTAAGCTTTGTACCCGTGTTTTGTAAATGTAAATGAAATCTGAAGGTCGTTTATACATTCTGGTCATTTTCGAATCTTGATTAAAAATCGACCAAGCAGTCTAATATTTAGTTTTTCAAAACAATTTTAAAAAAAATTACGGATTGAAACAAGGTCAGTTACATTATAAGAAAATATCGATCTTAAGATCTCGACATTGTCTCACCGACGACCGTTTGATTTCTGCAGTTTCACGTTTTCCTCAAAATTCGTTCAAGCGTATATAATTCAACCACTTTCAACATAATCATTACTGCAATAGCTACAATAAATTATTAATCATACGATTTATGGATATTATTCTATTATAATTATAACAATTAATGCAAAAACCATTTTTACTTTTATATATATATATATATATATATATATATATATATATTACTGTATCGATGAAATTTGATGAAATCGAATTTCTATGAGATTTTTGAAAAAAATCTTGACATTCGTATGGTTTCTAAAAATAAATCATTTATTAACGAGACGGTAAAATAAATTACGTACTGATAATTGTCAAGCAATAAACATTTAGGCAAAAGTAGCATCGTGCAGCAAGTTTTATGTCTAGTCAGTGTCTACTACGGCCATGCCTATTCTATTCCTGTTACGCACTGAGTTACATCATAGACCATATCGTTTCTGGTATAGCGTGAAAGAAAGAGAGAGAGAGAGAGAGAGAGAGAAGGAGAGAGACAGAGTCGATCGGACGGCAACACGTGGCATGAGTGTTTTCTAATGTGATATGCTGGCAAAATTTATACTATCCTCCAATATGCTATTAATCTAGACTCGCTTAGCGAGTGTGTGACACTAATTGATTATTCCTATATGATCTCGTGGACAATTGATGCTAACCATATGCTTCTTTTCGAAAGCTGTGATGTTATATTTCATCTTAAAATGTAATTTTGAATTGTAATTTTGAATTTAATTATTATTGCTTTCACTACAATATAGTATTAATGAAGTAAATACTGTTAATTGTTTCAGAAATGAAATTGGTAAACAGTAAAAGACTTTAGGCTCCTAACTTCGGTTTAATACTGAAGAGCAAAAAGGATGTCTCAACACCCCTCTCGAGGACCTCCTTATGGAGGTTCGAGCGGCTGGTCACCGGCAGGTCGGCCTACGGCACTGAGTCCTTTTAGACCAGCCTCCCCTTACAGTCCAACTCCAATGCCTTATCAACAGCAACAACGAGCTCCTCAAGTTTACCATCCCTTAAGTCCGGTACCTATAGGCGTACCTATCTCGCCGGGTATATCGCCTGTGCTTGGTGGCTCAACGCCAACTTCAATACAATGCCCCAGTCCACGCTGGCCGTCGCCAGGAATGCCGGGTAATACTACGCCCAGACCATATTTCCCACAACCACAGGTGAGCTTTCGAATTTGGTTTATAAATTAGTTTTTATTAATTTCGAAATAAGACTTTGAGTGCCTTCATCAATAGGTTAATTATGGTTTGGGTTTAAATTGATAGTCACATTGATTCAGTGGGTAAGAACTCAGGTCTCTATGCAAGAAATCGCGGATTTGGACCCCTAGGCATATTTTCAAAATATTTTCAATAATTTTCAAAAATGAAATTTACCTTAGCTCTTGGTGATTTAGATTTTACCTTAAACTGTAGATCCAATCACGATGTATACGAAAATTTTTCTTTCGAAACTGATGAAGAGGTTCATCATTCATCATGTATTTTAATATTTAAGTACTTTCAATAAGCTGTTTAAAAAGTAATGTTTTGATGTTCATGTGCATATAAGAATACACATTGACATTATAACAGATCTTTACAATTTGAGAAAAAAGTCATTAAAAGATTTTACAAAAATTTGAAGTATTTTTGAACATTCATCCCAAAGTTTTACTCATTATTATGAAAAAGACCATATTATTTTAGTATTTCGTCGATTAAATTGAGTTCCAATTTTAGGAAAGAGAAATTATGAAAGTCTAAAAATACTATTCTCACATTGAATTGTTACATTATCACTTGAAAGCTCAGACTCTATTTTCACACCGAGGATTCCATGCAAGCTCAATTATTTTAAGATCCCAGCAGCTTAGTAAAATCGTCTCTATTTCTCACAATGTATAGTTTAAATTGCAAAGTTATGCAGCTCCGCATAGTGAAAAGCATAGCTGCAGGCACGGATTAAACTTGCAAGTTTGCGCTACTCGAATCAAGTGCGTACTTGTTTACGTTAATTGGTCTATTCTGGTTTTGTACTTTAGAGCCCCTTGAGTTATGAGTGTATGTCACCTCAACCGTGCGGCCCGCCCGAGTACCTAATAGCACCCTATCGTTCGGGTGAATATGAGTATGTTGGTGTACCACTGGATCCGGGCCCTGATGACGAAGATTCCGGTCCTAGTACTGCTGAAATTATAGCTAGCCAGAGTCAAGATTACGTCGACGAGAAATTGGCTGAATACCAAGCTACTATTTTACAATTGCAGGGTGAGTATAAATTAATTGTAACTTTGAAATTGTTTTTATTTTTGATTCTTTACTTTCTTGGCTATGTTGTACACGGCATACATTCGATAAATTTGCTGATATATGGGGTCTATATTAGTAATTGATTTGATTTACTGGTGAATTGAAAAACCTTGACGTTATCAATACAAATTAATGTATTGTTCTTGGTTACACAATAAAAATTTAATATCAACAGTTACATGAAATCAAATAATTGAGCAATCATTTAGAGTTATGAGAACGAAAATTGCGATGACATTAGTACATTTGAATTGATATGAATTGAATAACTATTTCTTCAAATGAAAGTGTAATGAAAGAAACTGCAAGCTTGTTTTTTACAGCTAAAAAAGTAAATATTAAGCGATAAAACGAATCAAGGTCGCTTCTAACGAGCGCGGAAAACGGAAATGTATATCAGGCTGCAAAATTTCGCTTTGCCGATTCAAGGAATTCGAGTTAACTGTTTTGCCTGCGGGTGAGAAAAAACGAACACACAATAAATCATATGCATTTTCTTATATCTATTTTCTAAAAAAATATAGTCTATGAAGAACTTTGCAAAAGAAGATTCTAACGTACTTTTTTTTTAATAACCTATCGTTTGATTGACCGGTGTAAAAGTAGAAGATTAAATTCGTGTACGTTTAATTCCTTTACAAGTTGTTCAAAGTTGGCATGAGTTCTCCGAAGGACAATGAATTTGCCAAAAGCGAGAAGATTTATATTTATTTCAATTAAAGCTTCATTTTTAAGTTAACAGAGTTTAACTTTCATCTAGAAATAGACATATTTAGATATATAATTCGAAAATATGATCTATTCAGTGAGTCACATCACTACAATAACGTCTCTTCAATTTTATATTATCAAAGCATAATTCTCATTTCCATGTGGGATATTGTTAATGTATTGTAAGAGAAATTTCGATAAATCGATATTGCATTGATAAGTTGCAAAAGACGCAAATATCTTTAGTCGGTAAAGAAACGGCACATAGAAGTAGAATTGACAGAAACACACGACAAGACTCATGAGTTACAGATAACAAAAAGTTATCTGCGCACTCTAAATTACGCGTGTATGAGTGTGCCCGTACAATCAAAGACAAGACGTGATTTGCAGGCGCGCATCATCAGCAGTGTTACGCGCAGGATAGATGCGCGGGCAGTAGTATGTGCGCCGTTTATAAATAGGAATGACGAGCACCTGCCGCAACCATTCACACTCTCGTGATCGTCCATTCGCTTCTCTCTCGCTCTTTCTCACACTTGACGCCAACGGCAGAAACGAGGATCGCTCCCCCCCCTCCCCCCGCGCATGTCGAAACGCTCGAGAGAGTTCTCGAGTTCGCGCTAATTTGCAGTTTTTTTCGGATGATGATGCGTGCACTCGGCTTGCATGAAGCAATGTTCACTTATGTGAATTCACGAATTTGCTTTGAACGTCTGATGGAACGATTCCTTGAACTATTTTTTAAAGTAATTCGCGTACGTTTAATTAAGTCATCGAGTCACTTCACTCAACACTGATTTTTCAAATTCTAAGACCAGTTAGTTCGTACTACTGCTATTAATATTTGAATATAATTAAGGAATCCTGAAGCATCAAAAATACAAAGAATCTTCTGACAATCTCATATGTTTTAATGGGTTGCTATGTTGTGAAAAGAAAACACCTGTCAGAAATGCCATGCTTTTTGGCGACTCTTCAAACGTTATTGATGTGAGCCAGTTTTCATTTACATGCCGTCCATTTGACTCATTAACGAAAGCAGCCCCAGCGTAGCATATTCTTAGACCTGACTGTAAAGCTCGAAATGCGAATCTCGGTTTGAACGCTTCGAAGAGGCCGGTTAATAAAACAAGTTCAAGGTGTCTATTTATTTCGATTATCCTTGCGACCATCGTTGTTAGTAGTTGTGAATAAGGTCGATTTCGCAATTTCATTTCTGATACATTTTTTTTACAAACAATTATTTACAGAATCCAGTGCATACGACTTTTTTAGTATTTTCAAGTGGAAATTGATTCGCTACAAAATTCTTTCCTCAGCGAAGACCTAAACGCTCGTGTTTCTTTGAACAAATCAGTTTCGTATGAATAATGTATGTAGTTGGCTCAATGGAATTGCTACTAAAATTTGAAAAAGGATTCCTCTTAATCATTGTTGCAACTGCGTCCTTGATCATTCATTTATAAGTTGACAAAAATAAAAATAATATTGAAATAGCAATAACTTTTGCATATTGTACAAAAATATTGAAGACGGTTTGACGCAGTGTTGGAAGGGTGCTCTATTTGAATAAACGATAAATGTTATTATTTCGTTTGAAAGATTTCGAAAGAGAATTTCTGAGAGACGGCTCTGATGCAATATCTTGAGTGCAGATGAATTATTGAAGAATAACACTATGGCAGAGCTTGCAACTGTTTGTTTAACAATCGTATTTGCACACACGAGCTGTCCAGTAGCTAGACGCGCCAGTCACGTTTTTTTCATGAAACTACATCTTTGCTAAAAATATCCAATTATGTACTACTACGACTCCACGTGGCTCAAGGTTGAAAGTGATGTAACTAAGTAAATCACATTTGCTAAAAGTCTCAAATTTTCCATAAATATTTTCCTATAAACTTACTTATAGTGCACGAGTCATTTGTTTTAAATATTTAAATAATAGTATGGTGCACCGCAGGCTGCTTTGCATTAATTTTTTTTTCCGTACAAAACTACACATGTCGTTGTTAATTGCAGTTGCGATCGTAGCCGACCAAGCGTTCTTAATGCACGTCCAATTATATATCATTCAGCTAATCCTACGGCGAATCGGCTGTTTGATTTTTCAATAATTTAAAGGGAGGGTACGATCAAAAAAAAAGAAAAGAAAGTGTGGGTGCAGCGCGCGTCCGTTCCTGTTCGCATGACCGATCGATTAATGAAGCTCGACAGTCATCTGCTTGTACACGTAGAGCAGCGAGTGCATAGAAGATATTCGTATCGACAATCGTAACACGCGGTGTGGGTCTATCGGCGGGCGTCAGTTACGCGATTGAAATCATAGCGATGCGCGCGATCGAGACGATGATCCTAGTCACTCGCGAATGGGCGCGCACAGGCAAGACGAAGCTTGGCTTCGAGGATGTACATATAGGCACAGCTTTCGTACGTTAAAACGAGAGTGAAGTCGAGCAGCTTGACATTCCCATAGCGCGTGTTTATTTCCTCCCTCGACTTGTTTCTAACAAACATTCAAGTCGCATAAATATTGCCTTTGCAATACTATGAATTTGATTGTGAATGCTTTTGATAAATAATTTTTATCTTACAAATTGAAATATTATTATTACTACATATAGGAGTACTGCATCAACACTTCATAAAAGTATAATTTTATTCTGTTAAAACCTAATTGTAATATCGATGGCAATGACGTTACATAATAAAACTAATTTTGACAGATGACGATGCCCAGTAGATAGGTTGTCGAATACGAATATATTCACCAATAAAGCAACGATACTTCGAAGTAAAATTCATAGAAACATGTGACAAGCATCACGACACGTCGATAACAAAAGGCCAGCTCAGCCCACTTTGAAATGCGCAAGTGCTCAAACCCTTGACGTACGTTATTGTCGGAATGTTTACTCGTATATCTGGGGCTCGTGATCGACAGACACAGATGATGAGTACTATTACGTGCAAAATAGATTTTTATTCATAGTTATAATCCATAAATATCAGTATTACAGAAACAATCAGTCAGACCATAACAAACCCTTATTTATAACTAGTATTTTTATTACAACTGTAATATCAAGTATATTATTAAAGAAATTTTTTTTTTCATATTTTACAGTTTGATATGACAAGGAAATTTTCTTTAATAAACATTGTAGTTTCTTTGAAACGTTTCTTTTTTTGAAAAGCTACATAATATCTCATTATTATCAACATCTATCTTTTCATTGAAATGTCGGATTCAATGACATTCACTATCACTATTCCAATTCTTAACGTTCTCCTAAGGTTTCCATCAAAATGTCAAATTACTTTCTACGAACGAAAGTGAATTAATATTATTTTACCTTAATCTCAGAACAAGGACTTTATACATACCTACCTAGTTCTTTTGCTTATACAAGTTTCCTGAGCGCAAAAAAACAACACTATTTCCTCAATATACAATGTATTTTTTCATAAAAATAGCCCCTTAGAAAAAGAATACGGTGATATATTGAGTAGCTGCAGCCTAGTGGCAGAAGAACGGCATAGTTTTAGGGAAAGTACTTCGCAGGTGAACAAGTGATTTAACTCTGACTTCCAGGATCAATGCTAAGGCTGATGATGTATGCGTGTGTGCGCTCGCCTCCGACGCTATACTGAGCGTATCGCGGGGTGTTGTAGATAAAGCATGCGGGTCAAGCAGGTGTTCGGAAGTACATTTCGCAAGTGCGGATACACGCACGCGTTACGCGCGAGAAATTCGACACGGAAGCATGCTTACACAGCGGTTAACTCTTATATAATTGTGTAACGCTGATTAAACCGCTGATCGACCCTTGTGGCGGTCAATAATTGAAAGTCATTGATAAGGATTTTAGTTTTAACACGGCTGTGTCGTCATAATTACTTTTTTCAAGCGAATCGCTAAAAATAACGGTGTGGAAATATACGTCATTGATAATCAAGCAAGTAACAATTGATAAACGGTTCTTTTATTTGTAGTTTGTTCGTGAAGCGTCGCGACAAATTTCAACCTCGTATAAATAATACCAAGATTCCTATAAACATGCGTAAATAGCAACTAATCAATTTCTTTTATAACCATTTATTTATGCATGGATAACAATGTGACCGTGATAAGTTTGTAAAGACTAGTACGATCTATTCTAAGTAATTTTGACGACACAGCAAATGCTCACGCAATACTCTTTCACGAAGAGCCGTAAAATTATCACTCTTTCAAATTTACGATCTACAAACAACCTGTCGCGTTATGTGAATTCGTACAAAAGATTTTTCTTTTATGACAGTTTCTCTTTTAAGAATGATTTTCAAAATTTATTTCACAGAGTTTTACTTTTAATTAGTAAATTTTACAAATGGTTTTGGTGTTTTATTAAAATACAGTAACATAAACTCAAACGGTGCCAAACCAACATTCGAAAAAGCGATCTTGATAAACGTAGTATGTTTATCTACATTATCAGAGCTGCATACACAAGCCCGGTTCCTTTATTCAAATTATTCATGAAACCGGTAGGCGCAATATAAGTGCACGGGCAACGCCTGCGTCATACTGTTACGCAAGGCTGCCCTTGCCAGAAAGTGTTACATCCCATCTATACTTGGTGGGTCAATATAAAAGAACCATGAATCTTAGTTAACTGGCGATTTGGTAAACAGAGTTTTTTTTCGGATTATCCTGATATTATCTAATTCTGACGGAGTAGTTTGATAAAAATTATAGATAAAATTGATTGGAACGTTATCAGAATGTATATATATATAAATACTACCAAGTAATTCATCGAAATATATAATTTACAATAAGAGTGATTAGGAAATAAGCATTTAACAAACAAAATATTAATTGATAACTATAACGAATTCTGAAGAGATAAAATGTTTGTTAATGCCTTGATTAGAAATAAGTACTAGGTTTATCATGTATGTATGAATACAGTAATTTAAGTATAAAAATTGATATTTGACTTTGTCATTTATACTTTTATTTTTACTCTTGATGTATACGAGACAACATGATTTATCAAGCATATTTTTTTATTTATGGATTAGGCTTGTTACTTTTTATTTAGTGAATAAATTAATAACTTAATTTTTTATTTTAAATGCAAACTTCGAACTGAAAAAGTATTAAAACAAAAATGAAAAGTGTTTGATCGGTCGTCTGACCAATATGGTTATTACTACTTAAAAAGTCTAATTTCATTTATATTTATTGATTATGGGTAACAGTCATTATCACTGTTGTTGTTTCACTGAGTCTATTTTTGCGTCAGAAAGCCAGTGCGTATCAGCCAACTATTAAAAATACCTAAATGAATTGTTGCTATTCAAAATGAAATTAGTTTCAAATTAAGTGTAGCGTCAGCCGCCATCATAACCAAGAGTATACATGAGACAAGACAGTTCCGCGTAATCATTCAACCTTGCAATTTCGTCAAAGTGCACAAGGGAACCACCCCCTCGTGCACTGCACCCTCAACCTTTGTAAAGAAAAACTTAAAAAAAGGCAACCACGCGTGGTTTACCTTTGTTCTCTACGAAGCGGAAGGACACTCTCTTTGGCTGTTAGAGTGGAAATAGCGGCGCGCCTTTACGTGTACACGTCGAAGGGTGAGAGGCGAGTACGCGCAGGATCGTCACCCCTTCGTGCATGTGTGTATATGTGCATGTGTGCATGTGTGATACGTACAGGCGCCCCTCCACTCCAGTGGCTCCTGGCGAGCCGACTACTACTACAACGATTGCTGGAAGAAAAGAAGGAGTGGGTCCGTTGCGCGCGCGCCAGTATCGAACCGGCGCCTCGGCAGGCCACACGTTTCGCGCAAGCGTCGTCGCCTCCAAACGAACAGCTGACATACACACGCGCTGCATACACTTGTTATTGTTGTCGTCGTAATTGTCATTGTCCGCTTTTTTCATTGCCTTCGCTCGTTGCGGCCGCTGGTCGGACGCGTTTTCGGTGATGCTGATGCGCGATTCAAACGAGGCGTCGAAGTGATTCTTCTTTTTCAACGAGAGTATTAGCTTTTTACATTCCTACAGAAAAATTTGCATTCCTGAACTGAAGTTTGACCATTGTGATATATACGTTCGTCGTGTAGAATAAGTGTGATAACGTCAATGTGTAGTTACGTTAAGATAAGTCGTCATCGTGAGCTCTAAGAGTGTGAGAAATTTATGTAACGTTGATAAGAGCGCGAGAGCTATAGCTGCCTCTCTCTCTCTCTCTCTCTTTTACTCGCCGCAGTTTTGAAATGTTTTTCGTAGGAGGTAAGCCAGAGCGAGCACGAGCGAGCTTGGCAATCACGTGCTCCAAGTCATAACCTAGATTAGGCAGCTTAGCTGCTGCTGTGTGCGGAAAATCGAGCGAGTCCAAATCAATTTGAGCCCTCTTGCGCTGCACTTGTTTCCGTTAATGCTGCCTCGCTAAACACTCCCTACTCGGAGTTATACAATCAAAGGCAGCGGCACAGAGAGGAAAACAAAAACTGAACGTCAAATGCTCGGCTCGATAACAATTATCATGCGACTGAGTCAACAGTGGACGACGGCCAAGGGCTCGAGATCCTTGATTTGATATTGAATACGGAGGTTTGCTGCTCTAGCAGCATGTCACGAAACACCGGCACCCCCACCAGCAGTCCGCGACTGCCACGTGCTGGCCAACAGCTGCGCGAACGCGTCACTTTCTTCGAGCAATTATCCAGCCCTAATGCCCAGCATCGATCGCCGAGCAATGAGGATATATACGATGAAGCTGTTGTGGTCAGGAGGTCCTCGTCGAGGGCCAGCAATTCCTCGTACGAGGAAAGTTTCGAAAGATTGGTCGAGGAAGGCGAGTACAGCGGAGCTAAGGTGGTTAAGTTCGAAAAGATCACCGTGAAGAAAAATGTTAGGGAAGTCACGGCTTCCAGTTTGAGGTTCGTGAATGTTGAGTTTTCTTCCTTTTGAGGAATTGGTAATTCATTTTTGTAGATGGAAGCGAAGTCCTGTTCTTAATATTATTATTCCCAGTCAATCATATTTTAGTTTGCTGTGGAACGCGATTCCAATTAAACGAAATAATTTACACGAGATTCAAATTTTTAAAAAACTTGTGGAAAATTAAATTATTTTTAATGTAAAAAACGAGAAACAAATCGAATGACGCAATTCCTGAAAAGAGAAAAGAAACTCCATCACGAAATGCTTTTGGTTAAATACAGTACAATCGTAAGCAGTACCAACGGAACATCGAGACAGGTGATTCAAGGTGCTGGTCTGACGGCGAGCAGTCGGACACCAAGCGAAGATCAGGCACTCGAAGACTCCGCATACCAAAGCCATAGTCATGGTTTACATGGTAGCAAATCCAGTTCTGTCGCGTCATCCGTAAAATTCCCCTCGGAGGAAAGTTTTGTGCTCAGACGGACTCCGACATCGTGTTCATCGAGTCCCATGGAGGATAAATCATCCGCGGAGTGGTACGCCGAGTACCGAAATCAAAGCTTCGGCAATATGGGAAATAAGCCTGATTACGTTCGAAGCAAGAGTCAGTTCGACGCTCACATCGCTGAGATCAAAGGTAGAGTCGTTTTTACGTCTTTTTGTCATTCGTGTTAGTCTTAAAGCTTATTTGCACTGAAAAAACTCGCAAAAAAATATTTAGGAAGTTATTGTAGGATTCGACGAAGAAACGATTATTATAGTTTATGATTTCCGGTTATTGTGCTCGGAAAATAGTATGGTTGTAATTTTATACTTTTCAATGACTGTTAGAAATTATTTCTAACAAATTGTTGCATCGTAAAAATGACTAATTGTAAAAATTTATTTAACTGCCGTAGTAGTACAATTTACTACAAGAATAAATTTCAATATTTCCAGTTTATCACAAAAACTATTTAAAAATTTTGAAATTACTTTCCTATTGTAATAGAAACAATAAATGATTGAATGTATCTGAATGGGAATAAAATTTAAAAAAATATTGATCAGCTTATACAAAGTATTTTAATTCGTAGATAGCAGTATTTTATTTATTTTATTAATGATACAACCGTTTGAAAATGCCATATTCGACTCTAAATATTCACAATTTTTCAGTTCAAAATAACAATTTACTATTATTGAAATTCAAACTGTTCATATATTTTATCAGAATCATTCTTTTGAATAATTAAATGAACCGTAGCAGACAAATTATTATCCACTTTAAATTACATGAGCGCGTATAAAGTTGGACACCGGTGAAGTCATGTTAATGACTGAAGCGGTGACGCTGTAGCAATCTCAATTCCTCAAGGTTATCCAAGCCGCATCTGCTTTTTTTCCTTCTTCTTGTTGCACTAGAAACCTTTCTTTCGTAGTTATTTTTTTCATCGCCAATTTTCGTTTCTCCTGCAATTTATACTCTCTCATTCCTTCTCCGCCTCTAGAACAGTTTTTGTTCGTTACATTTCGAACGTAGCAAGCTTTTGTTTTAGACTCGTTGTTTGGCAGTTAGTTCTAATTGTGTAGCATTTTCTCACGATCTGTGCTTTGGTTCTTCTTAATACGATGGAAAGGTCGAGTAATTATTGTTGTTATTCTTTTCAGCGCGAAACCCTTATTTCAACAGTAAATTTGATGAATTCCCGTTATTGTTACTACATGATTCCAACAGTTAATAGAAATTGTGAATTAATTCTATAAATTAATGACGGTTAGAGAAGCTTCCAGTAGCTGGTTCAATCGATGAACATCGTTAGCACTACAAACCAAATATTTGATCATTCAAGTTGTATAGTTCGTTTATCAAACGCAATTATTTTTATTCATCCCGTTTTTTTTTTATTTCTGGAAGTCTTTGTCACAGTTGATCAAGTTAAAATATGTTTACTCGGCGCAGACCATTGTCAGTGCAAATAAAACCGCACGAAATGTCTTAAGGCATGATACATCAGCTAAATTAAACCATCAAACGATTGCTCCAGTCTACATGTCTGGCGTGAATCGTTTCGCTAACCAGCTTCATTCTTTGGCTTATTTCTCGCAGCGCGCCGCGAACTCGGGTGCGAAGTGGCGATTCATTCAAAGATAATTGGCTGCAGTCGCGCTCGATCGATAGATCCCTGAGCTTAGATAGGCTTCAGAAACGCATAACCAGCTTGCTCTTCTGCATGATAATTTCTCGTTGACCAATGAAGACTTTCTCTTTTTATGAAACTCGTTACTCGTTAAGTGTTTTGTTGACTATTACGTTCGAGCAACGCCATTTGATCAATCAGGTTTATTGTTTATTAAATTGTATTTGCTTTTGAACATGTGAGGTTGTTTTTTATTTGAACTCGACTGTTCGGAATGTCAATTAACTTTGGATAGCAAAACAGTAAACTGAATATCTAAATATGTAAATATTTTTTTATATATTTTAATTATGAGTGCATCGCATGTGATTATTAATATTGCAATTGAAATATATCGGAAGTTTGAACAAAAAGGACAATTTCTTTAATTTTATATTTTTATAATTTTTTCGTTTGAGCATTTTACGTTTTACTTATAACGATAGTACGTTTGAATTCATCAATCGTATTAACAATATGACAATTTTATTGATCATGTATAAGTAATTATCATCATCATTTTACTCATCAGAATATTTATACCGACTGAAACAACAGAAATATATTTTACATCGATTGAATTTGAATCTACTACTATAAATATCAATATAGACATAAAAACAGAGCTTAGCTAGGACGGCCAATTTTCATCAATCCCATACTAAGAAAAAGGGCAGATGCGTCGAAATAAAATGAATAGAGAGGGGGAGTTTAAGAGATGCAGTACATATGGGAAAAGGTTCATGCAAAGACAAGGGCGTTGTGTACGTCGTAGGTTTAGTCATAGTCGAGGAGGGAGGGGAACGCAATATTCTGCGCTCAAATGAAAAGCATACTAAGGCCAATCGATACTGTAATGCTCTATTGACTTTGTCATGAAAAATGATGGAAAAATATGAAATTGTTCACTCGACCAACGCAATAAATGTTACAAGTTAAATAAATAAAAAAATTTACAATATGAAATCAAGTTTTAAGATTAAAAAATTGAATTTTATCATCTGTAATGTATCTTTCATGAAAAATTCATAGCTGTTTTTTCTCTTTCAAATATGGAAAATATTTAAAAAGCTACGATCAAATTTGATCTAAGAAAATCGTCCAAGAAACCCATATTATTTTCAATATTGAATACTTCATAAGTATTATAAGTTGAACCATTCACTGGTATAACAAAAAATTTATTGGTCAATGAGTGTCTCGCCAGAACATTCAATTATTTTTTAAATTCCAACGGATATTACTTGAATGTCATTTGCCAGTAGGACGTGAGCTACATATTGCACATTCGTTTACAATCCATAAAACACCATTTCAATCAACATAAATTATGGTTTCTTATAAGGATAAAGGGGATAAAAAAGAAATCGAGCAGAAATCACGGCCTATTTAAAATCCCTCAATTAGAAACACGCGTGTGGCACTGGAGAAGCTTTCCGCATATACGTGCGGTTTTGCGTGCCGCGAGTCTCTTTCGAAAACCTCGTGTCAGCGCACTTGCACTTGCAAAGCGAGGAAGAGGCTTTAAGGGTCTCCGTTGAAACATGCGATCTTCGCCTTGCGTCTTACCACGCTAATTAACCGAGTGATTTCACACTGACAAATCTTGCGCGAAAATGAGAATTTGTGTATTTATATGTTTCGGCAAGCGTTTATTGACAATGACAGGTGCATCCTGAGTAGAGGCAACGAGGTGTTAGATAATTTCAACTTTATGTCTGCCTCGAGATTTTGTGATGATTCTTGCATACCATGTTTAAATTATTTCCGGTGTCAAGGTCACTGAAGATATTAAATCGTTACGTGTTGTTTGATACAGTACACGTGTTTTAAATTTAACAATCATTGAATGACTTGAGTGTAGATTATTAGTGACTCTATGTTTAATTGATACACAATAATATTTACTTTCTTGTAAAAATTATTCTAAATATCTCACTCAAACTATAATTATTTTAGCACACAATTTTTTGGTCTCTTTGATTCTTCTCAAATTTAGAATTTTATACTTACTTTAAGGTTAAGTAATTTCCATAGAAGTTTTTCAATTGGCCTCGTTGGTCGATATTTCAGGCCTGAGATAGAAAAATAAGTTTTACAATTGTATTTTGGCAAAAAATTGTAAAAGAACTAAAAATCGTGAAAATAAACAAAATTCGAATTATTTAAAGAATCCAATCTTCTATTTCACTTCTGTCCTTACGTAAGTTCTATGCAATTGCGAATCGATAAATAACGAAGATGTAACGTAATATCAAAAGGAAAGAAAGGAAAAAGCAAAACAGCGAATCCACCAGAATCTCGCAAACGTGACTAATCGAAATTTTATTAATATAATTCCGCACTTTGTCGATGGTCGAATCCAAAAGCATGTACATATATATAAAAGTTCGACGCGATGCTACAATAGTTTCAGTCAGCAGCATCCACATTTTGCCGGTATATATGACGTAGCAGCTGCTTCGTAATTAAATACGCCGGTAAAGTTGGTAAAGTGCGTTGTATAGTAGCAAGGTCACCGGCTTGGAGAGATAACCTCTCCCTTTACCTGTATTCTAGAGATGAACGAAATCCGAATGAATGAATCATCGCAAAATAATAGGTTATAAATCTACGAGACGTATGTCGTACGTATGTATATAGTACCACACAAGGTGAACACATTTCAAATGCAAAGATTCTAAGAACATTGATATTGACGATTTGTATATCGAAAGCTTAATGGGTTTTTTATTCGTCTGCTACGACGAAGACTTATTTGAAAATGTAAATTGAAACATTTTGTTGAGCGTATTATGGTGAAACTATTGCCGGGAGAATGTACGTATTCAATACGTAACGTCGTCATCTAGCGACTAAACTGTGAGAATTTGAAAGGTCAGTGGTTCAAGGCCACGCTGTCGAGCAGGCAAAGTATTTAATTGGATATATAGTTCTTCATTCACCAAATGTCGATTACAAACAATTTCAGGTATATCAATCCTAAAAATTCATATGTCAAGGCTTACAGGGAAAAACATTCAATAAAATGTGTTTGCACATGTCTAAATCCACGCGATTGCGTAGCTTTGAAGGCGAGCGGTCAGTATCTAATCGGCAAGTATATGCACAATCAGATAACCACTCAGTGCCGTACAAAGAAAAGAAAAAATAACTGATACGGAAGTGGTCGGAAAACAAAATCGTATGCCTCGACGAAATCCTGATGTTGCGCAAAAAATGAAAAAAAACCAGCGGTGCGTTGTATGTATGGTTCACAACTGTTGGCTTATAGGAGGGGGAAAACAGTCCCGACCGCCGCGACCTCATACTCAAGAACTTGTCCTACTTTCGGCCGTGGGCTCCCTATTATACTGTCAGTGAATATTTCGCTCCATGGCTTTCTTTTTTACTGGCAGTTATATCCTCCGATTCGTTTAATCTCAATCGAATTCGCTCTGGCATGGGTTTTGAATACTCAATACACTTTTTTTACTTC